TACAAGTCCGACTTGCGTAAAAGCAAGACATTGCTTTGCTTATACGCAAGTTTGAAAACCTGCGTAAAAGCAAGACATTGCTTTGCTTATACGCAAGTTTGAAAAGCCGAAAAAAATACAAGTCCGACTTGCGTAAAAGCAAGACATTGCTTTGCTTATACGCAAGTTTGAAAACCTGCGTAAAAGCAAGACATTGCTTTGCTTATACGCAAGTTTGAAGTCCGAGGGAAATTCCTTTGCTTATACGCAAGTATGAATTTTGCCTTGGTCCCCCCTTACCGTATTTTTTGCCATGCCCTAGCCGGGCGGGGTGTTTATTTGTTATTATTATGATTATTAGTGATATTATTATAATATTCCTTTGCTTATACGCAAGTTTTGAATTTTACCTTGGTCCCCCCTTACCGTATTTTTTTTGCCATGCCCCGGCTGGGCGGGGTAGGGGTGGGGGAGACCCCATACCTACCCCAAATTACTATAACTACCTTTCCCAACAGTTTAGAATGTAAAAATCCACATATTTTACCTTGGTCCCCCCTTGCCGTATTTCGTTTGCCATGCCCTGGCAGGGCGGGGGGAGACCCCATACCTACCCCAAATTACTATAACTACCTTTTCCAACAATTTACAATGTAAAAATCCACAGCTTATGGTTACGACCAGTACTGGACAAAATAGACAATCCGTTCCCACCGTGCAAATGGGAGAGTCGAAAAGGCGAAATTCCGAGCGAACGCGCCTCTAACGACCCTCGCTTTTACTGGCGACGAACAGCTCAAACGCTGCTTTTGTCGTTTTTGAGAGCGGTGATTTCATATAAGTGAATGAAAGGTGGTGAACAGTGAATGCGAAAGTGTTTGTTGATGAATGTGGTTACTGATAAGACCCTTTGTGGGTTCTGACGTTAATGGCGTGAGTGTATTGAGATATTTTCATATTGAAAATTTCATGATATATTCGAATACTGATTCCATTTCGATGGTAATCTGGTTGATCCTGGCTGAACTGATATGTTTCTTTCAAAGATTTAGCCATGCATGTCTAAGTGGAGTATTATATAGCGAAACTGCGAACGGCTCATTACAACAGATATAATTTACTAGTTCTTGTTTCTATATGGATAACTGCGGTAATTCTGGAGCCAATACATGCATCAAGCCCTGGCCGCTCGGTTAGGGTGCAATTATTGGAGCAAAACCAGTCTCGTACTGTTTGCTAACTCAGGATAATTCTGCATATCGCATGGTCTTGTACCGGCGAAGTTTCTTTCAAGTATCTGCTTTATCAACTATCGTTGGTAGTTTATTGGTCTACCATGGTGTTGACGGGTAACGGAGAATCAGGGTTTGACTCCGGAGAGGGAGCCTTAGAAACGGCTACCATGTCTAAGGATAGCAGCAGGCGCGAAAATTACCCAATATCAAAACGATGAGGTAGTGACGAGAAATAACAAGATCGTTCTCTTTGAGATCGATTATTGGAATGAGTACAATCCAGAAATTTTAACGAGTACCTACGAGAGGGCAAGTCTGGTGCCAGCAGCCGCGGTAATTCCAGCTCTCGTAATGTATAGAATTATTGTTGCGATTAAAAAGTTCGTAGTTGGATTGCAACGCAGGTATGGGTCCACCCTCTGGGTGCGTACTCAATGCTTGCATTTTGCATGTTTTTGTGGCGTCGCTTCGGTGGCGTTCATGATGCATGCAGGATTACTTTGAACGGCTCAAGTGCTTAAAGCAAGTCTTATGACTGAATACCGGTGCATGGAATAATGGAACAAGGTTGTGGCTGAGTTTTATTGGTTTTGTCGGCTAAAACAATGGTTAACAGGAACAGCCGGGGGCATTCGTATCGCTGCGCGAGAGGTGAAATTCGTGGACCGTAGCGAGACGTCCTACAGCGAAGGCATTTGCCAAGAGTGTTTTCATTAATCAAGAACGAAAGTCAGAGGTTCGAAGGCGATTAGATACCGCTCTAGTTCTGACCGTAAACGATGCCAACTGTCGATCCGCTTGTGGATTTTATTCATGAGCGGGGAGATTTCCGGAAACGAAAGTTTTTCGGTTTCGGGGGAAGTATGGTTGCAAAGCTGAAACTTAAAGGAATTGACGGAAGGGCACCACCAGGAGTGGAGCTTGCGGCTTAATTTGACTCAACACGGGAAATCTCACCCGGCCAGTACATCGTAAGGATTGACAGACTGACAGCTCTTTCATGATTCGGTGAATGGTGGTGCATGGCCGTTCTTAGTTCGTGGATTGATTTGTCTGGTTTATTCCGATAACGAACGAGACTTTAACTATTAAATAGTGCGCATGTTGCTTCGGCTGCGTGTGATCACTTCTTAAAGGAATTTGTGGTTTTCAACCTCAAGAAATTGAGCAATAACAGGTCTGTGATGCCCTTAGATGTTCGGGGCCGCACGCGTGCTACAATGGTGGTAACAGCGTGATTGTCCTTTTCCGACAGGAATTGGCAAACAGTTGAGATATTATTATGGCTGGAATTGAGTGTTGAAATTTTCTCTCATGAACGAGGAATTCCAAGTAAATGTGAGTCATTAACTTGCATTGATTACGTCCCTGCCCTTTGTACACACCGCCCGTCGCTGCCCGGGACTGAGTTACTTCGAGAAAACTAGGGATCGCTGGAGTAGGCCTCTAGTATTATATCCCTCATGCGTTTCTCCACATGTGAAGGGAGCTTGGACTGGCCCCCATATTCCATTGCCAACAAAGCCATTTGGTATTTTAGGCCTTGGAGGGGATTCTCAGGTGTCGCCTTTTTGGCGGCCGGCTCCTGCGCCTTCTGTTTCTCCTTTTTGGTCTGGGACTAGCCCTCTTATTATTTCGGCTCATATCTGTTTCTGAAAGCATATGTGACTAGACTATGTTATGTCGGAACGGGGAATCGAAATCGGGAGTGATTACGCGAAAGATCCGACCCACTGCCACTCGGCTATGCGGGTCGGTGCTCTGGACTGCTTATTTCCGGCTTTTATCCCTTCGGGAAAGGGGGTGTCGCCCGAGAGGGTTACGCGATCATCCGACTCCTACCGTAAAAACGTAGTCGAAGTAGGATTGAACCTGAGTACCAAGTGAACAGAGTGGCTACTACGCTCCATGGTATACCCTAGGGATAACCGTGTAGAGCGCATCGCTCAATGCCCTGATTTTGGCTGGTGTAGTCTAGTGGCTGCCTAGGCAGATTTGCCTCTTCACTGCGCAAAAATCGGGTGAGTACCATAAGAACCTCCTGTAGGGCCAGGAGTCAAACTAGTCCAGGTTCGGTATGCTTTGGTATACTTTCTCACGGGCTAGTCACCTAAGAGTTAAGAACCGCCTTTTTCTGTACTGTGAATAGAAAAAGAAGGGCGGGAGAATACACGGGCGAGGTAAGCACGTCGGAACGGGGTGTTTTTTGTTGTGAATCCTCCATTGTATCGAATCACGTTGCTACACACTGTACAAGGAGGTCAGAACAGAACCTCAGAAAATCTTTTGTTCCAAAAAAAAATCGAGAACATTTGTTCTTCGGAATTTTCTCGACGCGAAAATCCCTGATAGTCAATTTTTTAGCCGAGCAAATTTCGGTTCAAAAAATACCTTTTGTGGTCCTTTAAATTTTTCCCACACGTCGAGAACACCCTAAATATCAATTAATGAAAATTTTAAAGATTTCTGCCGCCGAGAAAATACACTAAACGCGGAGAGCGATCAACGAGAAAAACACTTTTTGGCCATAAATTTGCTCATGTCGCAAGGAAAAAATTGATTTTTTTTCTTGGAAACATGGTCTTTTAGTATAAAATTTTTATGAAACTTTTTGTGAAGTTCGGCAAAAATTGTCAAATTTTCGCCGACTTTCGATCTAAAAATCTCGGTTGTTTTTGCAAAGCGCGAGCTAGGATTCTCGCATATATTTTAGAAAAAATACTCTAAATTTGTGCCAGATTTCATCAAAATCCGAGCATAGCACTTGGGGTGCTTCCCCTGTTAGAAATCAGCGTCACACATCGACTTTCCCTGCTAAAATTTTCAAGTCTTATAAAAGTTTCTTCTCACTTCTAGCTCTCGTTTTTAGTTGCGACATAGTGAAGTCAATGTCCTTTTCCTCCCAGCTGTCCACCACTTCCTTGTAGGCCATCACACAGTCTTCAACTTGATTCGAGACGTCCTGAAAAGTAATTTGTTTCGGCCTTGTAAAAATATCGTCTGCATTTTTGCGCCTGTCGCTAGCGGCATGCTTTTTTATTTTTTGACAAAAATGCTTTCTATTTTTTTGGCAAAAATGCTTTCTAATTTTTTTTGCAAAAATGCTTTCTAATTTTTTTGACAAAAGTGCTTTCTAATGTTTTTGGCAAAAATGCTTTCTAATTTTTTTAGCAAAAATGCTTTCTTATTTTTTTAGCAAAAATGCTTTCTATTTTTTTGGCAAAAATGCTTTCTATTTTTTTGGCAAAAATGCTTTCTAATTTTTTTTGACAAAAATGCTTTTTATTTTTTTGGCAAAAATGCTTTCTTATTTTTTTTGCAAAAATGCTTTCTAATTTTTTTGACAAAAATGCTTTCTATTTTTTTTGCAAAAATGCTTTCTAATTTTTTTGACAAAAATGCTTTCTAATTTTTTTGGCAAAAGTGCTTTCTAATGTTTTTGGCAAAAACGCTTTCTAATTTTTTTTGCAAAAATGCTTTCTAATTTTTTTGACAAAAATGCTTTCTAATTTTTTTAGCAAAAATGCTTTCTTATTTTTTTAGCAAAAATGCTTTCTATTTTTTTGGCAAAAATGCTTTCTATTTTTTTGGCAAAAATGCTTTCTATTTTTTTGGCAAAAATGCTTTCTAATTTTTTTGACAAAAATGCTTTCTATTTTTTTGGCAAAAATGCTTTCTATTTTTTTGGCAAAAATGCTTTCTAATTTTGTTGGCAAAAATGCTTTCTAATGTTTTTGGCAAAAATGCTTTCTATTTTTTTAATTTTTTTTCTAACACAGACCAACTATGCAGGCGATTGAAACGATAGAGGACTTGTCCAATATCAAGGCCTATGAGTTAGGGAGGTAAGCAGCCCCCTGAAGCTCGGCCACAACTTTATATGCTCTGAATAAAAAAGAAGCTTGCCACTCACAGAGCCAAGGTACCAGCTCTGGGGGTGTCCGCATGAGCGGTGAGTCCAACGCCAGACGTGAAACTGCGGAAAGTCGGAGGGCCCAAGTGGAAGAGCCCGCGGAAACTTCCGGAACGCAGAGGGACGGAGAGGGTAGTACCCGCTCGCAGCACTCTGTGGCACTGGTTGCGGAAGAGGGTATCACTGCGCTTGCCGCACGGTATGCTAGACTACATGTTAGGGGCATACGTACCCTTTGTAGGGTCTGGCAAGAGGGTCTCGTGGTCTCAAAGGCCCGAGTGAATGGTTGGAAGGCATGTGAATTACTGTTTTTGCTGGAAGTAATGCACATGCAGACAGAACGAGGGAGACCGGGAGCCCAGGCCGTCGAACTCTCTCAGGTAGCTGGGATTAGACGAGGTCACCAGGCGATCCGAAAGGTGTATTCGGAATTATCAAGGGGAGCCGAGAAATATTCTCAAATCATTATCAGATATAAGGCAATGGCTCCCCTCGCCTGGTTGGACGACCCGGCATCCTTTATTATAAATAGGTCGGAACAGGAACGGGGTGAAAGGAATAGGGAAAGTGGAGCAGAACTGGTGATGGATACCTCTTCGGAGGAAAGTGGAAGTTCGGTTAACGTGTCAAATACTAAATGCATCAATAAAACTACCCAGAACACTGGGAGCACTGTTATCCCTGCTAGGCAGAACAATGTTGTTAACCCTGACAATTACATAATGTCAAGTCACCCAGGTAACGGGGATTACACTGGCGTGAGTGAAAAGGAATCGGTGTGGAACTGCAGGTTCTTGTGAGAGTCGTTGATAGGGTGAAGCTAGAAAAGAAAAGGCGATTGACTAATGAAGAAGGTGGCTGGATTAAGAAGATACTAACTAGGTGCAAGTTAGAGTCGATCGTCTACGAAACAGATATGCGCTGGCTGCGTGCTAACGCAGCACTGTATTCGGCGATTAAAGTAATAGCAGAACCCATAGGTGAACCGAAACTTTCGGATCAAGAACAACATCAGAGGTGGCTGGGGAATAGGTTAAGGGAGGAGTTAGCCACAAGGCAAAAGATTGGCAAGTGTGAGACTTGCAAGGCTCTGTTAAGGTGTAACAGAGACCTAAGTCGAAAAGAATGGTATCTGGTCCGTAGAGGCCAAGGAATAATGACCAAATTCCCCGGCATGGACCTCGATGGAGTGATTGAGCACCTAAAGCAACGCTTGAGCATAATTAAAGAAAAGGTGGACGTAAGACGAAATGAGAATACGCGTAAGCAGAACAGACGAGCTGCCGGCCGGTATGGTCATGAAATTAGAAAGAAACAAGGTGGCGTGGTGAATATTAAGGATGCTACCAGTTTCTGGTCACGGCTAGCCCAAGCCGATGGCAAACAAGTTAAAGGCAACTCAAGTGTGTTCAGCGAGTGGGAGGCGGCCCTTGCGCCCCAACTCAACGAAAGCCCAGTAGATATTTCCCTAATGGCGGCGAAAGCTCTAAAACGTGCGAAACCATGGAAAGCTCCGGGCCCAGACGGAATCTATAACTTTTATTGGAAACTTGACGGCGCTAAAGAATGGCTACTTGAATTAGCGTCCGTATAGATCGTAAACGGGCTGGCACCCGAGAAATTAGCAGCTGGTCGGACGGTATTATTACCAAAGTTCGGTGATCTAAGTATGGCGGAGAATTATCGACCAATAACTTGCCTCAATGGCTGCTACAAGATTGTGAATGCAATCGTGGCTGATGCCATATATGACCGAATAACAGGCACGCTTGCGTTACCGCAAGAACAAACGGCCTTAAAGCGAGGTTCGTGGGGTTGTGTCGACGCACAGCTCTACGACCTTGCTAGACAGTTGAGACTAGAAAGAGGCTGCGGAAATGTGGATACCGCATGGGTCGATTTTTCAAAGGCATATGACAGCTTGAACCACGATGCGATATCGAGAATCCTTAAAAGTTTGAGATTATCCGAAGGGATGGAGGAATATGTTAGAAAGTCAATTAAAAGCTGGAGAACGCATATAGAGCTTAGCACACCTAAAGGGCGTGTCAGGGGTAAAGAGTACCGTATCTCTCGTGGAGTCTTAAAAGGCGATAGTCTTAGCCCTACCCTTTTTGTGGTAGCAACCAGTATAATAACATATCAGTTAAATCAAATTCCGAATTCGACACATCAGTTCTGTATGGATGACTTGAAACTCTATGCTAGTAATGACGAAGGACTAGAGACTGCGATTAAATGCATGCAAAAGGTCGGAAATAAGTTGGGATTGTCGGTGAACCTTAAGAAATGCGCGGTGTTGAGCAAAACGATCAAGACGGCAATAGCCGGGATTGATGCGTTAGGAAAAGAGTGCTATAAGTATTGGGTCGTTTAGTAATTCCGTGCAGTTTTTTCATTGCTTTGTTTTACAAGGATTGTTTGTTGTTTGGCAAAGGGTACATATTTATTTGATACAGTTTTTTCTCCTCTACAAAACTGTGTTTTTAGTTTGTTTCCAATATCTTGGTACTCCACAGAGGAATCGAGCAGATATTTGGGGAGTATACTCCGGAACTAAAGTTTGGAACAGGACAGATTTTCTTTGCGGTTTGAGATCGGAGTTTCATTTCTTTTCTATTAGAATCGGAATGTATTAAAACCTGGAATAGATGCATAGCCGTAGAAATCAGAAAGCTCATATGAGCAAAACACAGAATTCGTAAAAATAGGTGGGACAAAAGTTTGGAACAGGGTTAGGAATGCGACCATAAATTTCCGGGTATAGTCAAAAACTCCTAGGCTTTGGTCTTTTTGGATGCTGCGAGGAGTCAGGATCTTAACGCCATACTGATTTTCATCGATAAGCTCAAAAAGAAAAAAATTCTTGTTGAGCCAAAAATGACGGTCCAATTTGGGGAAAAAAATATTTTTGGGTTGGGTTACCCATGTAATCGATGTATTAGCATTCTAAAATATTTAATATGGTCGTATAACCGTACAAAGACTTCGCATAACGATCTTAACCGCACAGTATAATTTATGAAAATTTTGGATTTTGGCGACCTAAAACGAAAGTAAAAAATATGGGTCATCTTGACATCTCATATGTCCGGGTTTTTCGAAGTTGTGGCCTTTCGTGTTGCAAATAGCGGTTGGTTTTTATTTTTTCAAGATACCTTTTCATCCCACAAAAACTATGGAAACACCAACTAGCCATCAAGCCGCCATACAAAAGATGTAAAAATCATTGAACCAAGATTTAAAGCAAAACTCAAAATTTTCATAATTCATACTATGCGTACACGGTGTGAATGCGAGGATATGACTGTCTGCAGGAGATTATGCGACCATAATTGATATTTTAGGATGCTAATACATCGATAACATGGGTAACCCAACCCAAAAATATTTTTTTCCCCCAAATTGGACCGTCATTTTTGGCTCAACAAGATTTTTTTTCATTTTGAGCTTATCGATGAAAATCAGTATGGCGTTAAGATCCTGACTCCTCGCAGCATCTAAAAAGACCAAAGCCTAGGAGTTTTTGACTATACCCGGAAATTTATTGTCGCATTCCTAACCCTGTTCCAAACTTTTGTCCCACCTATTTTTACGAATTCTGTGTTTTGCTCATATGAGCTTTCTGATTTCTACGGCTATGCATCTATTCCAGGTTTTAATACATTCCGATTCTAATAGAAAAGAAATGAAACTCCGATCTCAAGCCGCAAAGAAAATCTGGCCTGTTCCAAACTTTAGTCCCGGGGTGGCTCAACTGAGGGAGAAGGTTCTAACCGAGATCAAATTGGTATTTGAAATACCCGATTTAACTTTCGGGCAACTTATACGGCGAGTAAATGGCAAGATTGCTGCATTAGTCCGGTTTCTAGCTCAGTCAACAGTCTCCGCAAGGGTTGCGCTGGATTATATTCTCAAAGAATCCAAGGCACTTGACCAAAGAATTAGAACACTACTTGCTGAACTGGGGCTTCGGCACCGGAACAGCAACAGGGCAAGATTGTATTTGCACAACAGTCTAGAAGGTATCGGTTTCGTCAGCGTAGAGGAGACGCTAGTCACCGCTATCGTTGCTCGAGGCAGATACTTCGCACAGAACATTAAGCTGGAAGACCTCCGCTCCGAGTTGAGCGCAACAGAACTGGATCCGCGAGCGATTGCTCGGAAAGTTTGTGAAAAGTACTTACTTTCAGTCCCTGAAGAGTTAAACTCCAGGGCAGCGGGTCAGGTGGTAAAAGAAATTTGGCAAAACCGATGGTTAGCTGAATGGAAGAGGTCTGTGCATAAGACAAAACTAGACGAAGCAGAGGTGGGTGCAGCGCTTAGCAACTTGTGGATACGACAGGGTAATCTATCTGTCCGAAACGCGAGACTAGGTGTTAGTATCCAGGATAACAGTGTGTTTACAAAAGCGTATGTTGGTCACGGAACTGAACGGAACAATGAGTGTAGACAGTGTAATAGTGCGGCAGAAACCACAGCTCACATTGTGAGCGAATGTCCCAAGTATAGAGCAACGAAAATGACTGCTCGCCACGATGACGTGGCTAGGAACGTTTATGCCGTCCTGGCTAAACGATATCAGTTTGAAATTCCGAACTATTCAAGCGCAGTACCGTCCTGTGTTAAGTCTAAAACCGCTGAGTTATACTGGAACTTTACCTTTCCTAGCACTAGACCGTTAAAGGCCTGCAAGCCCGACTTGGTGTGTATAGACCATAGCCGTCGAGAAATTCTAATAATTGAGGTAGCTGTATCGTGGTTCACCCGTCTGAAAGATATGAATGATCGGAAATATCGGAAGTATATGGTAAATGGAAATGAGACTGAATCAGATAGGGGGAATACGATTACTGACGCATAAGTACAGTGGATATACGGCGAAGTTTATACCGGTAATAATTGGATGTACGGGAGAATTGCTGACTGAGAACGCACGCGCCCTGACAAGCCTCTGTCAGACCAAGAAAAGTAAACTAGAATTACTTGAGCGCTGTCAGCGAAGCGCAGTTCTCGGCAGCTGCCGTCTTGTCAAATCCCATCTAGCTGCCTATAAGAACACTAACCCACCGTCCGGTTTGTAATCTAAATGATTAAAAGCGTAGAGATATCTATCAATGGTATCCCATTCAATCGGAGTTGTGATACACTAGAATAGGTGAAGTACTTGTACGGAACCGATGATTTCTGTGAATATTGCACATTCCTACTCGTAAGTGACGCGTATGAATGCTGGTCTGGGAGATCAGCTCGGCATACTTATGATAACACGGACTAAAGCTGCGGCAGACAGCAGCCGCGAAATATGCGAGCCAAATGGTAAGCATATATGTCTTGACTACGTGTCATTGCAGCCTTTACCCCTTTCATGACCTTGCAGGTTGGTTTAATTACTGGCTTGTTGTCGAATCCATACGATTGTGTGTGGTTGAATGTCGGGGTGTTACTTTGGACGGATAGCCTTACTGTTTGTGAGGTGTTCAGAGTAAGTGGGGAGTATGCTGAGTTTTGGGGACAGAAACTTGCGTAAAAGCAAAGGAACTTCCCCAACCTCCTTGGGCCTTAGTCCCACAGAGTTACCTCCACGTGGTGACCGGCGGGCGATGTAACAATCGGCTAAAACTCTGAAAACTAAACAAGCTTCTATTACTCTAACACGAGCCCAAAAGGTATGCCGGAGATCATGATAAATCGGCGCTAGGCGACTTACACGACTATAGTCTGGTAAGTAACGTTCGACAATGATGGTTCACTTATGATCGTGGTGTCGTACCTTAATGCAAGTGTTAGAATTGAAGGAGGAGGAATGTTGGAGATTACTAACCGGGGTAGTCGCGATGCTACAGGTTAGATAAGCCCAACATATGATCCGACTTCATAACCTACTGTCGCTAACTTGAAAATCACTACTGCGCACAGGTACGCGCCCAGAAAAAGTGCAATGTAAAAACTGCGCCTACTACTGGGTTGCACCGGTGTTATAGCAGTTTAGATGAAATAGCTTCAGCGGGTAGCCTCTTGTCGTGAAAGTACCGAGAAATGTCGAAAAGTGCATCCGGGGTTAATGCACGAACGGTGATTGATGTCAAGTCGGGGTTTGCTTGCATCAAAGTAAGAGTCCAAGACAGGAAGAAGTGGGAGATAACGCAAGTATGGAACGGCTGCTGAAAGACAAGCCTCTTGAGGACCTGTGAAGGTCGGGGGTCAAACCCAAAAACCAAGTCAAGAGGCCAATGGACATGGAAGCGTGTGCAGTGAAGTACTTGTAATAGAGGTAAAATGCGTCGTGTCGGGTGGTCATATAAAGAGGAAAAAATTTATTTATTTTCTTTTATTATATGACAACAACCTTACATGACAGGATTACATTTCCTACTTGGAAGATGATGCTGCGCTGGCTTTGGATTTGGGCTTTCCTCTGGTTTTGACTCCACCAGTGCGTGGTGCCTCTTCTAGAGGGGGTTCATCTTCCTCGCCATTACCTCCCACCTCCATCTCACCAATCACTTCCTCATTCAACTGACGTCTTGCCTGACGTTTCGCTCGGGTAGATTGGCAGATCGAGTCAATTGTTGCCTCGGCCGCTTGGGCATCAGCTGGATGCTGTTGGCTATATGCTCCCCAAAGGTAGTCGATTTTGAGCAGCTTGGCTTTGACATGATTCTTTTTCCAAGATTCCATGACCTGCATACGATTGTTGAGCTGCATGATGGAAGTTATTGAAGTGTTGAGATCGGGGGCACTACTCGAACAATCCTGCTTCGCTCGACACAATCCATGAAGCAACTTGTAGGCTTCAGGCGTTAACTCTCTGTCATTCCCGCCTTGAGCGGTCAAAGCAGCGGCGATGGTCGCAATTACACCGAGTTTTGGACAGGTGGCAGACTTGGGCTTGGCGATTTTCTTGGCGGTGGCGGCTTTCAAGCTGGTGGCGCGTTCGGACATGGTTTCTTGGCTGAAAGTAAAGATCGTTAGAAATATGGCCCGGACACCGGGAATCGAACTCGGGAGATCACGAATACAAGGCCGCCGTGCAACCGATTAGGCTACACGGTGACGGGAGCTAAACGCTGAAAACTCGGAGACGAGCCAAAGCTCGGGGAAAGGGGCGTGGCCTGTGGGCACAGCCACCCAATCAGCGCGCTCCCCTGGGTATCTGGGCGTGGCTACTGAAATGCGTTGTAGAAGAGAGGCAAAATAGCCTATCAAAGACCTAAGAGATGGGTACTCTGCGGGGGGTCATACAGCACCCACTTAAAATACCCCGGGATAATAGCCTTAGCCCGGCTATTACACCCAACATGAATGGGCTCCAAGTAAGATAACGAGGCGTCCTTGCAGGGTCACGCGGACTTCCGCAGACTCAAGGGATCCGCGGCAGGATGCTGCAGATGAATGCCCCTCAGATACGATGTTACTTGAGTCGCAAGGCAACCTTGCTATCTCGCCCGAGAGGAGAGGGCTATAATGAGATGGGATGTCTTCTTATCCATTCACCGGGCTAAAAACCTGGAATACGGGGCGGGTGCAACGCGAGAGGTTTGCACATTGTGCGGACGTTGCTGCGAAACTGAAGTGACGCGTATGAATGCTGGTCTGGGAACTGGCGCAGTCTGATCCATACATTGTATGGTTGATGTCGGGGGGTTGACTGGGTTTAGTCAGCCATTGGGTGATACGTTGTGTATTGGTGAACAAAACCTGCGTAAGAGCAAAGGTTCTTCCCCCGGACTTAGAAAATTTTTCAAAAGTTTGGGGCGAACTTGCGTAAAAGCAAAGGAATTTTCACCAATATTTTCCTGGGTCCTTGGCCCCACAGAATTACCTCCGCGTGGTGACCGGTGGGCGATGTAACAGTCGGCTAAACACTCTGAAAGCCAAGGAAACCCCTTTATGCCTGTTGTGTTGAGGCGAATGTGGTTTCAAGCAAGCGACTAACCTTACGGAAGTAGGGTATGAAGCGAAAGAAGCTACTTTTACCGAGCAGCAGGTTTGGTGTGAGAGACAAGTACCCCTCAAATCAATATAACCAAACATCTCCCCTCGCTAAGTTACCGATCGAAAGCCAAGTACGGACAAAAGTTAGCCTTGAGCTATCGATTTGATGTCAAGTGCCGTAGAAAGGTTAGTGAGAAAGGAGGCTACAAACCGAAGTGAAAGTGATGAAGTATACGATGCAGGCAGAGCCCAGCTGCCTCAGTGCCTATAGAAGCGTTGGGTTTTCGCTCTATATGGCAGCCATTGGTGACAGGTCTATGATAGGGCGGCTGAAGGGTGCACTGTTCGTGCGGTTCGTGAGAACCAAGGCACAGCCTACAATCGAAGCATGATCAGATAAGCATACACGGAAAGCGGAAGCCCTTGAATAGATGGAGGAACCCGAACTCAATTGATACTGGAGATGAAATCGCTATTCAGACTGAGCGGCTGAAGGGCAAGCCATCTAGTGTGACCCGAGAGGGTCGAGCGCGGCTCAAAACCAATCGCTAGTGGATAATTGCCTCGGATGCATTAGCTACAGAGTGCGAGAGTAAGAGGTATCGGTTGTGGGAGGGGGGAAGAATGGAGATGTGTTATGAAAAACAGGAAAAATTTTATTTATTTTTACCTGAATTGACATACAACAACTATAGAGATCTGTTTACTCAGCTTGATCTTCCTCTGCATTTGCCTTCTTTGACTTGGCCTTTTTGCCCTTTGAAGAATTGTCCTTTGAATTGGAAGGACCGGGCTGGTCTTCAGGCTCTGGGTTGTCCAACTCCATGAGATCTTCCTCAACTTGTTTGGCCTCAGCAGGGTGGCGGTGTGAATAATGCCGCCATACGACGTCCAGCTTCTTCAAGGCTGGCACCACCGACTTCTTGTAGAGCAAGTCGTGGCGGGTTATTCGATTCAGCATGCCCACCAACTGTACACAATGGTCCCCAGAAGGGGCGCTTGAGCAAGGCCGGTGGTTTTGGCAGACCTTGTGGAGAAGGCCGTAGACTTCATTTCCTTCAGTATGGTGGCATAAGGGGTGGGCTTGGCTTTTGGCTTGGGCACTCCATGCTTCTGCTGCTGGTCATTCGACTTCTTCTCCTCCTTCTTCTTTTCTCCTTGCTTTTTCTGGTTAGCCATGTCGGTTGGTCTGAAAGTAGAGAGATTAGTGGGGGGGGTATGCCGGGTGCTGGTAATGCGGCAGCCCAACCATCTGAATCGGTGCTTGCACGGGTTCAGACACAACGAACCAGGGCGACTGGTAGGGTACAACGCCAGAACTGGTCAACTGACGAGTTGGCCAGGGTGTGTCAGGAGTACCGGGAACTAAAAGAAAGCACTGGTGGTGTTGAAGCGGGTGGTCCGGCCGTTTGGTTCGGTAAACTTAGCGAACGCTACAACCGTGTGATCGAGTCAGTTAATAGAGCCTACGGTTTAAACTTGCCTGCTAGAAACTCGAGTTCGATTCGTTCGAAACTTCAGCGTTACAAAGCGGCCGATCGTATCTTTGACAAGGTCTGGGATAGGGTCGTTGTGAACCCTGATGGCGAAACGGTAATCCTGGATGATCCAGAGAACTCTTCGGAGCAGATCGAAGATCATCGAATCGGGGAAGCAGCCTCGGCTGCCAAACCAACGACTACAGCTAGCAGTCCGGATACAGAGTGGGTGATCGATGACGAGTTCAGAGAAAACTTTAACCACTTTGTAGCTACCTGGATGGGGAAAAAAAGAAAGGTCCGAAAACCGATCAAATTCCCTAGAAAGGTGCCGGAGGTTCTGTGGAAGCATGCCAACCACCTGGTGGCTGAGCATGTTGCTAACGAAACTATTCGAAGTTTCGCTGACCTAAACAGAACGGTTTATGCCGCTTAAACCGTTCCTACGGAAATATTTCGAGTCTGGAGAATCGAGAGAGGATCCGGCGCTAAGAGTCGACGAGATACGTGAGTATTGGGCCGGGATAGTTGGTGAAAGCCAACGTTCTCAAAGCGAAGCCATTACGGCGGAGTGGGCACAAGACTGTAACGTATCAGCTCAAGAGGTCACTGACGAGCAACTCCGAGTATGGTGGCGTATGGCTGTATCGAAGTGCAAGCCAAACAAAGCGCCTGGCCCAGACGGAATTCCTGGAGTTTCCTGGAAACGTCTGCCGTGTGCCAGCGATTGGTTATGCACTTGGCTTATCAATGCACTGCGAAGTGTGCGCGTGAACACGCCTGGGTGGTTGGCACATGGGAGAGTGGTCCTTTGATCGGATGTGATACGATATATTTCAAATCTTTTCAAAAAAAAAACAATTTCATCGTATAAGACGTCACACCTTGCTCTTTTCAATTTAAAAAAAATTTTCATCGTATAAGACGTCACAACTTATTTTTTTCAATTTGAAAAAAATTTTCTTCGTATAAGATGTCACACCTCTTTTTCTCAATTTGAAAAAATTTTTCATCGTATAAGATGTCACACCTCATTTTTTCAATTTGAAAAAAATTTTGTGTGGCTAAAAATGAGAAATAATATACACATAAATCGCATTTGTCTATAGTGATCGTAAAATATTTTGGTTTTAGATGCAGAGGGAAGGAAGGCCACGCAGTGCACCAATAGTACAGGGGTAGTGCTCCTCACATTGGCTTGACACGAACGGAGGTTCGAGTACCAACATGCGATGATGAAATAACCGTGCTTTGACATTAAAATGCGATGATAACAAGGCTCTGAGCACTTCTTTTTGTTATTCTCAAAGATCGCTACCATATATACTCCCCGTACAATGTTTTGACCCCCCTCCTAACTCCGGCCAAAGTGTACTAATTCGGACCAAATTTGGTATGTAGTATACTCACAGGCTAGTAACAAAAAATAGCATAGCTGGACCTACCTTATAGTTGAATATCAAAATCTACGGGCAATTTTCAAAAATCACCTTAAAAAATCGAGGAAAAAGTTTTGACCCCCCTTAAAAAACTTTAGATATCGCCAGCGGATGCCACGCAAACTTATTGTAATCGACGTCCCATACCTGAATACAGGTTAATATATGGTTTTCCGTTGAATGCTTCGTTGCATTCGAGGATTCAACGCGTTAAACCGTTTTTGATGTAGAACAGCCCAAAATTGTAAAAATCTTGCCCTAGCGCTTTCCTAGAGCTCTAAATTGGGTTTATATTATGTGCTTTAGACCTGTATTTTCTTTTTCCTTTCAATAAAAGTGCATGGTGGCCTGGCGGTGTAGATTCGGCAGATACCCTCTTGTCATGCCCAGCCTTGGTGAGCCATTTACTCTTTGACTCAAGGTCGAGATGTGGTCGTTAGGTCCTCAATGTAATCCTGAGACTCCTAGTTACTCTCAGTAATGTAAAATGTCTTGATTTGACACGTTTTGTAATGGGTTTCATTCACCTTAATCTTAAGTTTGCCGTTACTGTAGATGACTCCGAGTACTATTACATCCCCACCTCCCATTTGGCGTTTCATACGTCTCAAATGAGTATGGTGGGTGCTGTAGCGTCTTAAACTACCTGGTCCATCAAATGAAAGCCGTTTTTGGTGGCTAAAAATCCATTTGAAAAACGCGGGTTTTTCGTTATGGTGCAGATCGGCGAAGTTGCGCCTGAAAACCATATGAGACCGTGTCAGCCGGAGTTTATTCTTTGTTTGAGAGTAACTAGGAGTCTCAGGATTATACTGAGGACCTAACGACCACATCTCGACCTTGAGTCAAAGAGCAAATGGCTCACCAAGGCTGGGCATGACAAGAAGGTATCTGCCGAATCTACACCGCCAGGCCACCATGCACTTTTATTGAAAGGAGAAGGTAAATACAGGTCTAAAGCACATAATATAAACCCAATTTAGAGCTCTAGGAAAGCGCTAGGGCAAGACTTTTACAATTTTGGGCAGGTCTACATCAAAAACGGTTTAACGCGTTGAATACTCAAATGCAACGAAGCATTCAACGGAAAACCATTCATTAACCTGTATTCAGGTATGGGACGTCGATTACAATAGGTTTGCGTGGCATCCGCTGGCGATATCTAACGTTTTTTTAAGGGGGGTCAAAACTTTTTCCTCGATTTTTTAAGGTGATTTTTGAAAATTGCCCATAGATTTTGAAATTCAACTATAAGGTAGGTCCAGCTATGTTATTTTTTGTTACTACCCTGTGAGTATACTACATACCAAATTTGGTCCGAATTAGTACACCTTGGACCGAGTTAGGAGGGGGGTCAAAACATTGTACGGGGAGTATATGTATTATGCTTTACCCTACACAAAACATCTGTGTTTTCCATATTTGGTCTGTTTTTGACCAGAAAATATAGAGGTTAAAGTAAAGAGGCAACGTCTTGAAAGGCGCCCACCGTTTTGAGCGTCGCGAAAATTGCTTTGGTCTCCGCTCACCACACTTTTTTTTATACACAGCCCACCGGAACGGGGATCCCTTGTAACTTTTGTTTTTTTTTGTCAAAATTTTTTATTATGAGATCCAGATGGAAGACACTACTGCTTAAGCAAAATTGTAAAATTCAGAAAAAACGATAATAGACTTCTGAGCACATTTTTTGTTATTTGCAATTACAGATCCACCTAACCTATGGCCAGATAATTGCTCAGGTTGACCGTCATTTTCGGCGGTTAATCCGCGCACTAATAGAATTGAATTTGACTGGCGAACTAAATCATATATCTCTTCAGATTGCAAACTGGCAAATCAAGTCTTGGCCAATAAAAAGTTGTAATTTATGTTTTGATTCTTTCAAAAAATTCAAAGTCTTAGCAAAATATTAGCAATAGTATTCATCTATTCACTTGTAACTATAGAAACAACGGAAACATTACAATATACCTAGAAAAATCTTTTCGCTTATAAACCAAGTTGCTTCAAGCCAAGTAATACGTCACAACCAGAGATTGCCACGGCTCCGGCTCTGAGCGGCTCCGAGCCGGGGGCCAAAGCCGGAAATTTTAGGTGCGGCTCCGGCTCCCGAGCCCAAAGTCAGAGCCACCTTGTCAGCGTTCAGAAAAGTAAAAATTTCGTAACGACTCACTCCGGCACTAATAACTTTTATTTTTGGAAAAATATTTTAAAAAAATGTTTTGCACAGGAGCCGGGATTCGGAGCCAGATACCTTTTGAAATTTTGCAAGGAGCCGGGAGCCGGAGCTGCAAATTTGGCCTTGGCTCCGGCTCTGGGAGCTAAGAACCGGAGCCGAAATTTTGACCGCGGCAATCTCTGGTTGGAACGAAGGGGGTTCAAGCACAAAGAATCTGTGTTTTCCATATTTGGTCTAAACCTTGGGGTTTTTGACCAGAAAATAGGAGTTAAAGCAAAGAGGCAGTGTTTTGCAATGTATACTTCCTTTTGTGCGCCATGAAAATTGCCTTGATCCCCGCTCACCACATTTTTTTATACGCCGCCCTCTGGAAGGAAGGGGGATTCCTTTGGATTTTCAATTTTTTGGCAAAACTCTTTATTATGAGATCCAGAGGGAAGGGCGGTCACTCAGTGAACGAATAGTGCAGGGGTAGCGCCGTTCACATTGGATTGGAACAAAGGATGTTCGGGTGAGATGTTATGATTAAATGTGGGAGCATTTGACACTAAAGTATGACGATAACAGACTTCTGAGCATATTTTTTGTTATTTCCAATTACAGATCCACCTAACCTAGGGCCAGATAATTGTCCAGGTTGACCGTCATTTTCGGCGGGTAATCCTTCTCTTTCCCTCACATCGAATCGAATTTCACACGCTTGGCGCAACATTTCAAGCATCAATTAACCAAAATTCCCTGAATTTCGATTTCCTAAAAGATCGAATTCGAGTTGGAATATCAAACAACTCGCCAAACATATCGATCAATATCCAAACCTCGTCAAATGAAAAAATTAAAAGTGGTTGCTCAAAAATTACTGCGGAGGATGCGTTGCGTACGACTTGGCTGCAAAAACCTTGGCTGTATGACCTCTGGCACTAGCAACGTTTATTTTTGGAAAAATATTTTTAAAAAATTCTTAGCACGGGAGCCGGGATTCGGAGCCGCAAACCTTTTTAAGTTTTTCATGGGAGCCGGGAGCCGGAGCCGAAATTTTGACCGTGGCAATCTCTGCTTCTGACCACTTATCAGTCTGTCGGAAAAAAAACGGCGGATTGTCGCAGCGAAATGTCTCGCCTCACCGCTGTCGCGCACCAAATCCCAAGCCGCGGCTTGCAGTCGCAAAGCGATGATGGGCGATTCGGAGGCGCGACGATCCGCCGTTTTTTTCCCGACAGACTGATATTTAGCTTCTTATAATTAGGAATTTTCTATGTAGGTTTTTATTTGATTCCACGAGGAAACTGAAAATTTATCTGAAGGAGCTGCTCATTTTATTACTTGTGTGTTTCCTCGACGATTTGTCCACTCAGTATACGTTCAAGCCCATCCATTTTTATTTCAAGCATCAATTAACCAAAATTCCCTGAATTTCGATTTCTTAAAAGATCGAATTCGAGTTGGAATATCAGACAACTCGCCAAACATTTCGATCAATATCCAAACCCCGTCAAAATCGGATTTGGACCGATCTCATCGAGTGGACATCAATTTCGATGGGGTAAGTAATAATGTCGACTACCAGCAGTTGATCGCAAAAGTTCTGCAACTTCAATTACTGGCTGATCCCATGATTTTTTTAAACAACAACAAACCATGGGTTAACTTCAAAGATCAAAAAACCTTCTGTTGCAGGCCGAGGTAAATAAAAAATAAACCACAGCCAATTGTAGAAAAAAATTGTCCCAGACACATCATTCCGAACTTTTTTTGTGAGCAAAATCCGGTGTCAAAAAAGCGAATTTTTTTGTAATGATTTTTTTAACAGCTAGAGGCGCCTCAGACAAGGCGTAATAAAGTGCGGAAAAATATCAGAGCGATAAAACACATGTCGCTGTCTGAGATTATGCAAATTTTAAGGATTTTAACGGCTTACAAAGGCCGGGAAAAATGATTTAAAAATTGGTATTTCTTACTTTTGATGCCTCAGAACTGCACTTTATCGTACACTTTTGAAAAAACGAAAGTTCTTATTTTGTAGGAAATTTGATGCTGTATAACATAGTTGGGAATTATGTCATTCCCTCCCATGGTTTCTTTTTTTATGGCTAAAGCCCCCACTTTTCGGCACAAAATCGCAGTTTTTTTTGCCTAAAGTGCAAAAATCGAAAAATTTTTTGCAACATAAATAGCGACGTTCAAGCAATATATTAACGGTAAGAACGAAGGTACAATTTTATCTCAACTTTTTTCTTGGGAGTTGAAGTTGACCATGTCCTGATCGCAATTCTCGAAAGTGTGTCCTCTGGAAAGTGAGGCATAAATATTTTTTGAGGCATCACCAAAACTTCAAATAAAAGTCCTCCAATTCGTTAGGATCTGTACTATCATATACATAAAGGAATAGTAATAGTAACCTTTCATTTCAATGCTATGGACATCCTAACTTGAGTAGCAGAGGCATTAAAATAAAACCCAAAATTCCGAAAACCAGAAAAGATATTGTAGTGAGAAAATGATGAGGCTTCGGACAACTGTAAAGTTTTGAGTTAATTCCCGACTGAGGACTTACTGAATACACGGATTTTTTCCGCGGAGATTTTTCTTTAAAGATATGCTGCACAGCTGCCGTTGAGCCTACCTCGCTCAAACGGCACTAACCACGTAAATCTACGTCTACTCTATAGCGTCAAAAAGTTTCTTTTCTTAACTTTCGGACACACTGAAGCCGTGTCTTGCATCTCTCTGTTGAATCAACGTATGGCCCGCATAGAATAGAATATGGGGAACATCTCATGTCGGTTTTTACAATTATTCCACCCGATAAGGCCGAGATATTCAATTTTGAAGCCATTCGTTCCAAAGATCTGCAAAGATCTGGGTCAGTCTGATTTCTGATGCTCTTCTTCAGAGCCGGAGCCTTTTCTGTTCTGGATCTACCACTTCCTGGGAACCTCTGGATGCTGCCAACATCCCTAAACATATATGAAGCCCGAGTGACAGTTGTACGGAGAGAACCACAACGTCAAACAATTTTCTTCCGGGAAAATTCTTTAGAAAATAAAAACACATTTTGGTACCTCTTCGCCTTTTTGTCCATATTGCAAAAATGTGTGGGAAAAATAAAAAAGGGATTTAAAGGGTCTGCAAGTGACTGGTTTGTGGTCATAATGGTCCCTTTTTCCTTACTCGTAACGCTTTTCGTGGCGAGACACAACCGTTTTTACTTTTGTCCATTTTTTGGCGCACCCTGTACAGGGTGTTTCAAGAAATTTGGAACAAATGATTTGCTTATATCTTTGTGTTCTTTGCAGCTATCAACGAATTCCTTTTTGCTTCTAAAAATTGACAGCGTGCGTTTTTAGAATCTCAAAAAAAAAAATTTTTTCGTCGGCGGAGGGCCCATTTCTCGGCGGAGAAAATTAGGGCCTTTTTTAAAAATCACATCGTATTACGTGGCGGAAACGCCGTTGCAACGGCTGAAATCAAGTTTACGTAACACCTCCATGGATTTTACGGTATGCTTTTTTTGCGTTTTCGATTTTACGCACTTCCGCGGATGCGCGGCGGACACCTCAGATTTCGGCGAACGTTGTTTTGGGCCTTTGGTTTTTGCAATTCATGTTGGAAAAGGAGGTTTGGGTGATTTTTTGTTGTCATCCGATGCACAGATGGCAAAAATTTCGTGCTTTTTATCACCGGCGGAGGAGTCGGCGGAGGCTTTATCAAAGGGTAAAAACAAAACTCCGCCGATTTGTCCGCCGGACCAAAAAAATCAAAAATCTTTGAAAGACAATGCTGCTCTGATGGATTCTTGTAGCTGAGATTTTTCCCGGACTCGTAAGACTGCTTTGACCCTTTGGTGGCAAATTTTTTTTTCAAACGAATTTTTACCTCATGTACAAGGTCGGAAATGGCTCATAAGGCAAATGCGTCGATGAAGTACGACGGATATAAATTTAATAACCTTTTTAATACTACAGAGAACGCGAGGAAGTGCAATAAGAGCAGGTTGACTCAAAATTCTTTTAAATAAACGAAAAATTACTTAATTGCGTCTATAATTCTGTGGACCCCAAAAAAGTCAAAAAAATGGCATATCTCAGTCAAGGCAAAATTTTGTTCCAAAATCGCTACGGGACATGATTTCTCGTTTAATTTGTCACATTTCATCTGTTGAACATTATTCGATATCATTTAGTACAAGGAAGATAATCGCTAAAAACAGGGTGCGTCTATCATTTCGTGGAGCAGTATATTTTTTAGAAATTTCAAAAAGTTCCGTCATCATGACATGTTTTTGACCCAAAACTTTTCCCTCTAAAAACCAATTTCCGCGGCCTAAACGCCTTCTCCGATATTATTTTAGTCACTTACGAGGCTCCTCGGGAGTTGTAGTGATGTCATGGTTGAACATGGCACAGATCAGCTGTCTCAGCACATCCTCAGGCGATTGTTGATCCAAAACCGTCACCAAATTCTCCAACGGCTCGATTACGAACTTCTCGGAGTCCTCCAATTTGCCGATGACGTCATTGGTAACTTGTCGGATTTGTGGTACCACAGCTCTTGGCTCCATTCGAGGAGATCCCAAGGAGCTGGCGATAGTGTCAATCATCCTCTTCGAGTTGGAGAATCGTCCCAAAATCGCGGCAATTTGATCGGACAATTCCGTCTTTGCACTGTGCATGTCGGCCAGGGCGTTTTTGACCAAATCCGGACTGACCTGCGGTCCCATGTTGCTGCACACCTCAGTGACCAGCCCAAGAAGGCGGTCGCACTCAATGGATGCATTTTGCAAAACATTCGCAGGTCATATCCCTCCGAATCCACCGTATTTTTATTGTGTTTGTTGAGGGTCAAGTCCAACATGAGGCGATCCTTCATCGTCTTGTTAATGGGATCATGGCTTCCTTCTCCAACACCTCTTCGATGGACTTGGCGGGCATTGCGGCTTGGGTTTGGCTTTCCGGGTTCTCCGGCTGCTCGATAACGAGCAATTCCGCGTCTACTCCTTGATTACGGTAATGTTGGGTCAATTTCTTGGCCAATTCCTCCACCTTCGCCGGGGCCATCGGCGCTGCCTGAGTGCTGATGGGTTCTTTGTGGGAGGCCTCGTTCTGCAATTGCTCCGTTTTCTCGCGAACAATCGCTCCGAACAATTTCTGGGCGACATTATCGGCCATCTGTTTTTGGACTGAATCTTCGGCCAGAAATCCGGCGGACATTTGATTTTGGAGTTGTGGGGCCTGGAGGAATCCCTGATTAATTCCAATCGACGGGCTAATCAAAGTGAATTGGAGGTGTTGGAGTGAATTGACAAAACCTATACCATTCGAAAGATCACAGAATGAGATTTTATCGCGGCAAGTTTCGTATTTTATGGAGCAAAATTACGCCCGTACCGGGCCGAAAACTCTGATATTATACTTGGCACCAATTAGAAAAAAGTGAATTGGAGATGTCGGAGTGAATTGGTTTAAGGCTTTGGTGAGCAAGATCAAACTCTAGCAAAAAATATATTTAGCCTTTTTTACACGTTTTATAGGCTGTACAATTTTTTAAAACAATAACGAGTTAGAGGTACAGACCGTTTCAAAAAGATAGGCATACCCTTTTCTATCACCAAACGAGTATATCTTCGGCGTTCCATCGCTTTGAGAATGTTCGGAAGCACCCAAAAAAATCATTTTTTGACGATTTTTGTTGTGGTAAAATGCCCCTATAAAACGTGTAAAAGGCAATAAAATTTTTTTTGTTGCTAGAGTTTGATCTTGGTCACCAAAACCTTATCACTATCCTTCGGGAGACCCGGGAATCAAACCAACCCCCAAAAGGCTATCAGGCGGATTTCTTGCAAAATGAGCTGAAATGAGCTAAGATGAGTTAAGATTTGTTAAGTTTTCTTGAAAAAATGAGCAGTGGGTTATCTGTCCAGAAAACGCGCAGATCAGTTTCCCGTAAAATTTTTCTAGACGTAAAATCAAATGGGGTAGCCTGCTCTTGGTAAAAATTCCATTTTTGGAAAAATTCCCAGTTTCCTTCACTCAGAAAATACATCTTGCACGTAGGGAAATAAAAAAAAATTTTTTGAGGCCCGGGGTCAACTGTTCCCCGGGAGTAAACCTTCGGCGAGTAAATCCGCACCTTCGGCGAGTAAATCCTGAGTTTACTCCAAAAATCGAAATTTTGAAAGCTATTTTGATTCCTACTCTCCGACCCATGAAATTTCTCGATTTTAACTCCCTTTTTCACAAGGAAAGTACTTCTATGGGGTATGTAGTTACAGGTCGAGATATACAGGGTGTTTCAAGAAATTCCGCGGAAAGTCGTCGTCGATTTCTCGGCGCTCATCCACGATATCCAAAAAATTTTTTTTGCAGTAGAAAGATGTAGTGGGCGGTTTTTTGCCTAAAAAGATTTTTTTCTACGCCGACGCGGAATGCAGTGTATTCGGTGGAGACATTTGATAGCTTTTTTGCCAATCCCACTTATCTCAAACGCTGGATTACGAATTTTGACGGTTCAAAAGAGGATGAATCTTGAAGATTGAAGGAGGATTTGCATATTTCTATGTTTTTCAAGTATTCGGCGAAGGTATGGCGGACGCTTTCCATATCGGCGGAGGCCATAACTCATCTTCGGACAAAGACCCAGAGATGGGAAATGGCTCGAAATGATTCCTGTGCTCTGGTTAACACCATCCTTCATCAGTAGGACCAGGCACACCCCAGCAGCGCCACCAGCCAATTCCCCGTGTAATTCCCCACAATTCAGCGAGAGCACCCAACCTTCATCTGCATCCCGCCACGAATAACTCAACTGCTAATTTGCATTCCGCACAGACCGGTCATTTGGACATCTCAATTGGAATATTCTAATCAGTTATTCGGTTGTTTCGGAGGCGGGCGGTCGACCATTGTTCGTCGTCCTCACCTCTTTCTACTTTGTGTGATTTGCCCCTTTGTTGGCGTTATTGTCAGATAATAAATACCTCAGTGATTATCTTGTCAATCCTTTGAGTATCACCCGGGTCGTTATCCCGTAATATACTCCTTAGAGACCTTTGCCCCATTGATGGTATAAAAGGTCCTATTCATCATTTCTTATGAAAATCAAATTTTTTCTCAGTTAGGCGGAGGAATCGGCGGAGGCCATAAAACATCTTTGGTTAAAAATACAGAGCTGGGAAATGGCTCAAAATGACTCATGTGCTCTGACTAACCCCAGTGTGGAGCGCATGAATCATTTTGAGCAATTCCCCAGCTCTGTATCTTTAACCAAAGATGTGTTATGGCCTCCGCCGATTCCTCCGCCAAACTGAGAATAAATTTGATTTTCATAAGAAATGATGAAGGATGGTGTTAACCAGAGCACAGGAATCATTTCGAGCCATTTCCCAGCTCTGTGTCTTTGTCCGAAGATGAGTTATTTCCTCCGCCGATATAGAAAGCGTCCGCCATACCTTCGCCGAATACAGGGTGGGCCACTCGAAACGGGTAAGTTGTTTCTTTGAATTTCTCCGCGGAGACTCCGCCGATTTTCCCGAAATTTAGATTTTTCTGTAGCTGAGACCCGCCATTTTTAACCGATTGAATTTCAAAAAAATATGTTTTGAATTGACTATCTATGCCTTCCCAAAGTTTCGAAGAATCATTTTCGAGCCGAAACCGCTAAAAGTTTGAAAATTTTTGGAATGATTTTCAATTGACTTTCTCGGACTTCGAAAATTTTTGGCTTTTTTTGGTAAAACCGAGAAGTAAAAAAGTTGCGTATCTTCTCTTTAAACTTGCTTAAAGCAAGTTGAAAGTAAAAATAGTGTTGTCTGCGTTACCGGAGGGCACGAACTTTCAAAAAAAAAACCAATTTTTTTAACAATTGATAAAGTCCACACAATTGGCTACGAGCCCCAGCTCCAAGTCGTTGAGGCTTGGAGCCCAGCCCGATTAAAGCTAAACGATGTTCACGATCTGCAATTCGAGCTGTTCACGACTCTCAAAGCTCCTAAAAGTTTGTGCTGCGAGATGAGGTGGGCATTTCGAACTCAGATAGAAATATTAATAATCAGTTTGTTAAATAAAATTGTTTTTACAACAATATTTTATGGTTATCTGAGGTAAAACTAAGAAAATTTCACCCAAAAACTCGAAAAAATGACCAAGTTTTCAAAATCATTCCAAAAATTTTCTAACGAGGGAATGGTCTGAAATTCCCCCAGCGTTTGGGAAAATGACTAGTACAGGTGGATAGAGCAAATAAACTTTGGTAAAAAGAGCCATTTTCCAGCTGCGGAATAAGCCCGGCCGACGAGAAAAATCGACCGAAAGTTCCACAAAAATTTCCTCTGTCTCTTCACTCGGAAAAGAAGAGCGGTGTACAGTGGTTTGGTTAGCCGAGTGGATAAAGCATCCGCTCGGTATTCTTTTGGGGGTTGGTTCGATCCCGGGGTCTCGCGAAGGACCGTGATAAGGCTTTGATTAGCAAGATCAAACTCTAACAACCCAAAAAAAAATTATTTTGCCTTATTCAAAGTCAACTCTATCACCAAACGAGTATAACTTCGATGGTTCATCGTTTTAAATGTTCGGAAGCACCCAAAAAATTCATTTGTTGACGATTATTTTTTGGTATAATGCCCCTATAAAACGTATAAAAATGGCAAAATATTTTTCTTTGGTTTGTTAGAGCTTGATCTTGCTCATCAAAGCCTTATCACGGTTCTTTGCGAGACCCCGGAATCGAACCAACCCCCAAAAGAATACCGAGCGGATGCTTAATCCACTCGGCTAACCGAACCATTGGACCCCGCTCTTCTTTTCCGAGGGAAGAGAAAGAGGAAATTTTTATGGAACTTTCGGTCGATTTTTCTCGTCGGCCGGGCTTATTCCGCAGCTGGAAAATGGCTCTTTTTACCAAAGTTTACTTGCTCTATCCACCTGTACTAGTCATTTTCCCAAACGCTGGGGGAAGTTCAGACCATTCCCTCGTAAGTTTTAGCGGTTTTGGCTCGAAAATAATTCTTCGAAACTTTGGGAAGGCATATAAAGGTCAATTCAAGATATATTTTTTTGAAATTCAATCGGTTAAAAATGGCGGGTCTCAGCTCCAGAAAAATCTTAATTTCGGGAAAATCGGCGGAGTCTCCGCGGAGAAATTCAAAGAAACAACTTACCCGTTTCGAGTGGCCCACCCTGTACTTGAAAAACATAGAAATATGCAAATCCTCTTCAATCTTCAAGATTCATCCTCTTTTGAACCGTCAAAATTCGTAATAAAGCGTTTGAGATAAGTGGGATTGGCAAAAAAGCTATCAAATGTCTCCGCCGAATACACTGCATTCCGCGTCGGCGTAGAAAAAAATCTTTTTAGGCAAAAAACCGCCCATTACATTCTTTCTACTGCAAAAAAAATTTTTTGGATATCGTGGCTGAGCGCCGAGAAATCAACGACGACTTTCCGCGGAATTTCTTGAAACACCCTGTACATCAAAAAATACGCAAAAAATTTCTGATTCAGAATATATGTATAAAAATTAGCTGCCTAATTTTGGTCTGATGACATGTTTTTGTCCTCAGAAGTTTCTCGCGACACCATGCAAGTGTCTTTTTGACCGTGTTTTTACCAATAAAAAAATGTTGTTTTGTTCTAAAATAAATTCTGAGGCCTTGACAAGCCTTAAAATATCAGATTGGATTACAACTACACCTTAAAAGTAGTTCCAACGTAAAAAATGGGTTCTAGTGTGGCAAAAAGAATCGAACCCGTTCCCTCGGATTTCCAATCTATCGCTCTAACCACTCGGCCACACTGCTCTCTTCCGGAGGAAGAGACCGAGCGCGCTTTTGTTGCCGCAGATTTTTATCATCGAGAAATACATTTATTGATAAAACTCGTTAATAGACCAAAATTAGGCAGCTAATTTTTATACATTCTGAATCAGAAAAATTTTGCGAATTTTTTGAAATATGACTCGACCTGTAACTCCATACCCCATAGATTACTTGTAGTACTTTCCTTGTCAAAAAAAGTGAATTCGAAAAAAATTCAAAATTTTTGTGCAAAAACTTTTATCTCGCCTCTTATATTTCAAGGCATTACTTCTTGAAACACCCTGTATTATGTGTTTGGCGAGTCTTCTCTAGAAGATCGTCGAATCTTACGTCTTACGAACTAACAATAATAGTTCTAATGTGCAAAAGCTTTTATCTCGTCTCTTATACCCTCATTTCAATTTCTTTTCGGCCTATTGAACTTGTTCAAGACATAAGTTCGACTCGTCACATTAACAGGATTTGACAAAGCCAGCGGCTTCAAAAAATGAAGGTACTTGAAAATTCGAATGAACTCTGAGATTTATTCTAGAAGATTCAAATTTATATATTTTTTAAAAAGACCATAGAAACATACATCTTGCATCAAATTTTATCAGGCGTAAAAAACAAAAAAAGGCATGTTACACTGCGGGTCGGGTCAAGTTTTTTTCATGGGGTGGTCAAGTCTTTCCCCTAATATTATTTTTTCCCCGAAATTCAGACTGTTATATGGGAGGTTAATCAAGGTAAATCTGGTCAGTTCTTGTTGATTATTTCAAGAACAAGTCTTATTCTATTTTTAGAAATCAAATTTGATTGAATTACGGTGTGGGTTTGCCTCAATTTTTAGCATTCTTTGGGGGTATTATTCTATACCTAAATGATCAATTGTGAGACAGTTTCAAGTCTGATTTACGATATCGTTTCCATTTCACCTTCGGACGTACGCCACCTGTCCAATAAAGGTAAGTAACTGTGAATCTGGTAGTCCGTTTTCTAGTAATTAAAGATTTTGTATATTATACTAGGTACTTTTGAAGATTTTTGTTGAGATTTGCCAAGTTTTCGGCCTGGATTAGATTATTTAGCGTAATAATGGTCTCTAGTGCCTATAAAAACGTAAGTGGACAGGTTTCTCCTTCTCTTTTAGACTTTTTCTTTGTGTCCAAAGTTGATGCAGATTTTAGGTAGAGATGAAATTCAACGCCCAAACTATGCGGAATTTTCATAAAAATCAAAGAAAATACTTTCGAGGATCATCAAGCGAAGCAAAAATGTGTTTGAGACCAATCTAGCGTTTTTTTCAGGCGGATGTTATACATGATCCCTGTAACGTATAACGTCTGGATCACATCTGTGAAGACCTCTGGTGATGGAAAACGTGGTTAGGACAGTAAAATTAATATGTTGGACGTGATTTTGAGGGAAAACCAGGCAAATCCCGTACAAAATTTTCTGAATAACCTAGAATAATATACAAAATCTTTAATTACTAAAAAACGGACTACCAGATTCACAGTTACTTACCTTTATTGGACAGGTGGCGTACGTCCGAAGGTGAAATGGAAACGATATCGTAAATCAGACTTGAAACTGTCTCACAATTGATCATTTAGGTATAGAATACATACACCCAAAGAATGCTAAAAATTGAGGCAAACCCACACCGTAATTCAATCAAATTTGATTTCTAAAAATAGAATAAGACTTGTTCTTGAAATAATCAACAAGAACTGACCAGATTTACCTTGATTAACCTCCGATATAACAGTCTGAATTTCGGGGAAAAAATAATATTAGGGGAAAGACTTGACCACCACATGAAAAAAACTTGACCCGACCCGCAGTGTGTTATGCTAATCCGATACTTCCGGTTCACGCTGGTACCATCGTTTCTTTATGAGATACGCATAAACGTCATCGACAAGATTGCTCGCGAGTTCTCCCTCGTTGATCTGCCGCTTGACGTGGCTTTTTAGGGCCTTTAACTTAACTAAAAAATAAGAAATTAATTTTTTAGGTAATTTATAGTCGCAGAAGTAAACGAAAGAAACGAAAGACTTACAGTACAACGAAGCCCTGCTGAACTTCAAATCGTTGAAGAGGTTTGCATTCTCACACATCCGAGTCCACTTTTGTATTTTTCTTGCCATGAGTCGGCACTTCGAAAAACCAAAGACCTCGATGTTTTTCTTGATAAATCTAAAAATAAGGCAAAAAGTAGAGTCGCAAAGATAAAATATGAAAAGATGAAAAATATAAACAACGAACTTTTTCGGTATCTGAGATATGTCGAACTTTCTCTTCAGCCAAACTTCTTTCTCCTCAATGAATCTAGTCAAAGCTTGCAAAAGCTCCTTTGAAGAGTATACCTTCCGTAAGAAGGGCTTTGACAAAAAGGCACGCTTCATCAGCGAATCGGGCATCGCGTTCACAATCAAACTGGGGTCCGCTGTCATATTCTCCTTGCGCCAAAGCCTTGAAAAGCTCCTAACTTGTTTCCTAAAACGACAAAATTATTTTTGATTAGCAAAATTCTAATGTAAAAAAAAGTATATGCGCCTTACCAAAAGGCCCGAGACCTTTCTATGGACCAGCCACATTGACTACTAATTTCATTCCATCGGACTTTCTCCTTATAGCTTCGTCGTTCTCCTTTATCCATGGCGGCGACCTCAACTGCGTCGTGACCAAAGGCCTTCGACATGGCATCTGAAAAAAAGCATTATCTTGTGTACATTCCGGGAACTTACGATAAAACTTCTGCGCAGCCAGTTCTTCGGTATTCAGCTGATTCTCTCTCATAGGTTTGCTCTCCGAGACCTTGAAGAGTCTACGCGCGCGCCTTAACACTTGAGCGCACGTTCGATTTAACAATCCTCGGCACAAGGTAGGGTAGAACAACCTGTCCTTTACGGGTTTTTTGCCCTTTAAACCGGCCTGTCCAAGGATTGTTTGGCCTTCTCTGACTTCATAGGCGCCAGTGATTTCACAGTATGACGCCCAGTTCCTCTTGATTAGGTCATCTTCTTCCTCACAGAACTTTTTTGTTGATAGTTTGATTCCTGAAAACAATATTCTTGATACTCCGAAAATACAAAAATTTCTTAAGCTATTTACATACCTCCTTTTAATAGCTTTTTCGTAAGACTTTTTCCAGTTGACCGCCTGAGGTGATGCATCGGAATGCAGAGGTCGACAAAGCAAGGGCTGTTTCCCCGATGCATTACTGAACAATACTCTTGATTCAACAATTCCATTATCTTCTCCTCACTTTCTGCTTTATCCATTATAATACTCTAAATTCATTAACGCAAATAAAAACAAATCGGAGTCAGAAGATAAAACTGAGCCGCAACTCACTTCCCGATTGTGCAAAGTTTCTCCGACATGCAAGTATTTATTTAAAAAACAAAGCATTGTCCAAAAAATGAACAGAACAAGCATATCAACAACAATCAATGCATTAAAAACCCCCGAAAATACATCTCTGAACTAAATCTAACGAAATAATTATTGAGCATTTTCGACCCTTAAACCCAAAAATGGGCAGCTAATTTTTATATATTCTTGATCAGCACAATTTTTCGGATTTTTTGAGATATGTCCCGTCATAAATCAAAAAATTCGCAAAATGTTTCTGATTCAGAATATGTAAAAACCAGCTGCCTAATTTGGGTTTGTAAGGGTGAAAAAAAACCCTCGGAACTGTTCTTGAAACACCACGCAAATGCCTTTTTGACCGTTTTTACCAAATCGAAAACTTTTTTTGAGTTAAAGTAAACTCTGGTACCTTTACAAGCCTCAAAATATCAAATTTAATTTATACTACACCTTAATTAGTAGTTCCAATGTAAAAAAGGTGCCCTTCCACGGTGTTGCGAGAAAGGTTCAGAAAATTTTTTCACCCTTACAAACCAAAATTAGGCAGCTAATTTTTGGATACTCAGAATCAAAAAAATTTTGCGAATTTTTTGATATATGACTCGATCTGCAACTCCATACCCCATAGAAGTACTTTCCTTGTAATATAAACCAAATAAACTTACTCTTTCTTCCAAGGACTATCATTTCGATTCCAATAAATCCTCGCTTTGTACCTTTTGTGTGAAATTGCACGCATAACCACATCGACAACTAAACGGAAAGCCCAGGCGCGACCGCCCGCTCAACTTGTCTTCAGCCAGGCGGCCCAGCATTCTTTTGAATGCAAAATTTTTTTTGAGTGAGTCTCGACTCGTCCTGATAGGATATCCCCCAAACTCCTTGATCGCCTATTACAACTCGAAGTAAATCTAAGAATCACAAGGGCCCATTACAAAACGAAACAAGTAATTCAAATTACTTTCCCGATTTTCGTTTAAATTTAGGTACCTACTATAAGAGCAGTTAAACTTTTTTCAATTTTACCAAATTTTCAGAAAAAAATGCGCCTCATAGTGCCTGAAAACCAGCTAAGAAGTGGAAACGGCAAAAAAATAAAGAAAGACAATTCCAAGCTTTCAATCCGTTATGATCGAAGCCAGCAACGTCTGGTGCCTAGCGTAATGCCTTTAAAATTTCCTAAAGTTTCTGCTGTATCCAAAAGGATTGAGTACGAAAAGGTCCGCTGCGGAAAGGCCCGCTAAAAAAAGAAAAGGGGAGGTTTTCGATGGCGCTGATTTCGAAAATCATATCTATTTTTTCTGTATTTTACAGTTTTGCTTAAGCAGTAGTGTCATTTTCGCTGTAAAGACGAAAAAACATCATAAGTTTTCTTAAAGTATCATACAAGTTTGACCAAGTTTTTACCAATTAAAACACTTATTTTAATGAATTGAGAAATATAGGCAAAAATTCAGAATAAATGGATACAATTTTCAAAATCAGCACCACCGAAAACCCCTAAATCCATTACTCAAAATTTTTTTTTAATTCTAATTAACACTACTGCTTAAGCAAAATTGTAAAATTCAGAAAAAATTGATACGATATTCGAAATCAGCGCCATCGAAAACCTCCCCCCCCTCCCCAGTCACACCTCATTTTCAATCCTACGGCTGAATTTCCATAGTTAAAGTATCAACTGCCACAAAAATTGTTTCACGGATTTTTTATGGATGCCACCTAGTACAACGCAAGCTGTATATTCCAAAAATTTTGACTAAAAACTTACCTCGATTGCAGTTCGGTGGGCTCAGTTTGCAGCCGTTTAATGACCAATCCGAGGAAAATTTTGGCTTCGGTCTTCTCCATGAAAAAAGGTATTGATCAGCCTGGCGCAATCAAACCCTTGTTGATGTAAGAGTCTGAAGAAAAAGAATAATATTGTGTCGGCCAAAGAACGGTAAATGAAGATCGTAAAAACAAATTTCCAGTTTTTGAAAGGTCTTCGCGCCTAGTACAATATCACATATTAATCAAAAAAATTGGCCAAAAATTGCTGGACGGCAATTAGTTTGTAAGAGTTAAAAAATCCTCAGAACTAAGGCATTTGCGTGGTGTTACAAGAAAAGTTCTGAGGATTTTTTCACCCTTACAAACCAAAATTAGGCGCCTAATTTTCATGTGTTCTGAATCAGAAAAAACTTTGCGATTTTTTTGATATATGTCTTGACCTGTAACTCCATATTCAAACTCCTTGTCTAAACATCAAGAACACAAGAAAACGCATGCTTACCTCATTTTCTTGGCTCAGGCCATCATTTCAATGCTATTCGGGTTTCCTGGTTCCTGAGTAATTCTTCGAGTAATTCTGAAAAAAAGCGGATAAAAAATTGCTGATAATATAAGGTCAAACACGGGTGAACTCAATGCAACAAAGTAAACAAACACAAGATGTAAAATTAACTTTTCTCGACATTTTTTGAAGGCTTGAGACCTAGTACAATGTCAGCATCATCCTCGCAAAACGAAACGAAACCTGGACATAAATTTCAAGCCATCACCTATAACAACCACCAATATAACTTAAACAACAAAAACGAAAACGATATAACAAATTCCCGGCCAAATCCAACCCACACCAGCAGAGTCTAGTATAACATGCCCTAATATCCCAAAAGCTTCCTACATATAAAGGTGGTCATATAAGAATTAAAAATTTTGTTTTCCCAAATCGCAATTTTCGTTTCTAATTTAATTCAAAAGTCCTCATTGTACCCTCAAAAAATCAACGAAACCTAAAAATGAACGGCAAAAAATCCTTTTCATAAGAGTCCGACCAGCTTCCCTTACCTCAGATCCAAATCCTTGAAAAAAGTCCCTCCTCATCACTGAAAGTTGTATCTGATTCAATGGTAATCACCCGGAGTCTGAGGCTTACAGAGACGCCTAATCAGCTGTTCCATAGTTCGATCGGTTCGTAAAATACCGATTCCAGGCATTTGAGGCCATCGAAGATCTGGCAGAAGAACCGATTTGGATCATCGACGGCTCTGTTATGGTCTCCAGACAGAGATGGAAACTGGCGATCCGGCTGATCAGTTGTCAATATCACTCTAAAAAAATAAGATAGAATACAATCACAAATTGGAGTGGGTGAAATTATTATTCAAAAAAATCAAAATTCCGCTCCACCCTTGCGCCAATTTTCGTCAAGAATTTCAAAACTTACTTGAAACAACGACGGTTTTCCAGTCAAAGTCGGCGTCGAAACAAATCTTGTAAAATTTGTCGTCTTGTAGATGGAAGGCTTCGCAAATGAAAAATGGGAGTTGGGAGTAGCATCCAGCGAGGCCGGTGGCTAGAACTGGGCAGAAATTGGACTGAAAACATTGGTTTACATTAGCTGCTAGAAGTGGGTCGAAAAATTTTTATCGCAATGCGCTTTTTTCGAATTTTTGCCCTATGCTATGCGCCCCATAATAACAAAATTCCGTTGCAATCGGAATTTTTTGACGTACAAAGCGTCAGGAAGCGTACTTTTCAATGCTCCCAGAAAAGTTTTCAACTTTAGGTACCTAAACTTCAAAAATACAATAAAAAAAATCAACTTACTTCTCCCGCCACATGTTACAGGTCCTTGGAAGCCGCCAAAAATCAGAAACAATTTCGGCATTGAAATGAAATTTCATAATCAGAATCAGTTAAATATCTGATCCGTTGAATCCACCGACATTGCTTTGCAAATCTACAAAAAATAAAGATTATTTTTACGCAACATTATGGATAATATTTAAAACTCCATTATTCACTTTGCATCTAACAAATACAAGGAAATACTTACTTCATGGAGAAGAAGACGAAGTCCCGAACAATCCTGCTTCTCTGGACACATTTTTGTTCCACCGATCTTCGGCACCACTAAAGAATTTGAAGAAGTGGAAAAATTGGAAAAAATGGTTAACCACAACGAAACTAAAGTCCCAAACAATTCAAATCAGTCAGGGCCGGTGTCTAGTAAATTCCCAAAAACATAACAAACGCAAGCTTACCTCATATCCCGGATGTAAGACCTCCGTTTGGTCAATTTGCCGCGGCAAATTGTCGGCGCCGACATTTGTAGTTTGAACGTGCCGCGAAAAACGGCGTGCAGAGCCGTTCGGCCTTCTCTCGAGCTGCACGGACCTTTTTGCGGTTTGCAGTGGACATTTTATACGATGGGTGAGGGAGTTGCGGACCGCCAAAGAAACAAGAAATAAAGCTTTTATGGTCTCCAAGAAACTGTACGAAAAATAGAGTCGAAGAATATTGGCAGTTCGAACTGATTTTGTATTGTACAATATATTATGATCAAAATATTGTTTTACGTTAGTCTTAAAATTTTGAAAATCGTACCGATCTGGCCAAATTTAGGGAGTAACTCAATGATGAATTACTGGAAAAAAGCCAGCAAATGTAACCCGGCGTATTACTGCTTCTGTGTATGGTAAAATAGGGAAAAGACACTTGCTTTACGTTCTTTTCCTACGACAGCAACGAGGATACCCTTGGGATTGCTCATCTCGGCGAAGTCAGCACTCCATAACCCGCACTTTTTGGCCGTAATTGTCATTATTACTTTCGTGTCGCCTACGACTGTTGGTTGCACCATAGCGATGAGAGAGATGGGCTCGAATCGTTTTCAAAGTCCATTAACAATATCAAAAATCACTTTCTAGTCTTCCCATGTAAAAAAGGTAAATTAATGGCCACATTAATGTAAATTTACGGTTTAACTCAAAGTAAATTTATCTCACTGCCTCCTTGAGCCACTTTTATATCGATGTTTATACAAGATACGTATGAAACACGGCTAAATTTAATCAAATTTATACTGCCATGCAAAAATCTGATTCAAATTCTTCAAATCCTCGCACTGTTCTTCAAAAATCTGACATCGACTTGGATAATGGGCCGTTTCCAAACAAGTACCACCACGGGAACACATCAGTGATCATTTCTCCAAACTCATTCTGATGTAAATGGACGTAGACGCAGAAGAATCTCGGAGCGCCACGGCGGTTGTAGTTGACGTAAAAGAAGTTATCTGTGCCAGAAGCGACTTGAATGACCGGGGAATGCCTGAAAATCAGCAAAATTAAAGGCTGAAGCGGCATTTCAAAACTTTGGCTGCTTAATAAAAATTATAATTTTAAAAATATAAAATTTGCCACTTCCAAAATAATTTGACAGAATTTTTGAACAACAACAAACCAAGGGTTAAACCATGCAACTTCAAAGATCAAAAAACCTTCTATTGCAGGCCGAGGTAGATAAAAAATAAACCAGAGCCAATTGTAGAAAAAAAATTGTCCCAGAGAGAGATTGCCACGGTCAAAATTTCGGCTCCGGCTCTTAGTTCCCAGAGCTGGAGCCAAGGCCAAATTTGCAGCTCCGGCTCCGATGAAAAATTAAAAAGGTCTCCGGCTCTGAATCCCGGCTCCCGTGCAGAAAATTTTTTAAAAATATTTTTCCAAAAATAACAGTTATTATTGCCAGAGTTTAACAAGATCATGAAATTTTTGCTCTTCTGAACGCTGAGATGCCTGGCTCCGACTTTGTGCTCGGGAGCCAAGAGCCGGCTCCGGAGCCGTGGCAATCTCTGGTCCCAGACCTTATTTCACATTACCCATGACACCAGGAAGATCCCGAGCTGTCCCGATAAACAATAAACAAAGGCAGATTTTGTTCCAAAACCTCGACGCAGGTGTATTGATCGACCATACAGCCGAATTTAAACGCAGTGAGACTATCACACTTCTCTTCAGCTTCGTATTGATCCATTGCGCCACGGAAAAAGTCGGGAAAAGCGACTTCGCCTTCCAAGTCAGGTGTCAGATTGGTCGGAAGCAACGGCATTGCCCTTAAAAACAAAGAATAAACCGTAAAAATATACATATAATTTTAATAAATATAAAACCGCCAAAGATAATTTTCTTCTGCACTGTGCGATCCAAGATTTTAATCGGTTACGGAACAGTGCAACAGCAAAAAATTCCCTATTGCACCGCGCAAAAAACAAAAAAAATCCGCACCATGCAGACATTTCTTAGACTTCCGCACTCTGCAAAATACAGCAAAATCACTAATACTTACTCCCTTTCCTTCTTTTTGCTCGCCTTTTTTTGGTTTGATCGGCACGGGTTCCACTGGAATATCATTCATTTCATGGATGGATTCGTTCCCTTTGCACATCCTCGTTGTCACGGTTTTTGTCCAAAATAAATCCCTACCTACCTCAGATCTTCGCATAACGATCTTAACCGCACAGTATAATTTATGAAAATCTTGGATTGCGCTTCGAATCTTGGTCTAATGAACTTTAGACTTTTTGTAAGGCGGCTTGATGGCTAGTTGGCCTTTTCATAGTTTTTGTGGGATGAAAAGGTTTCTTCACAAAGCAAAACATGACCGCAATTTGCAATATCCCAAGCCAGATGTTTCAAAAATTAAAAAAAATTTTCGATTACCAAGATCAATGTCTATATCGACCTGGATTCCTAGTTTAATACATTTTAGAGTTGGCTAACAAAACTTTATCAGTGTGAAAAGGATAAAGGCATTTAGTTTTGCGCCATACGGCGACCTAAAATTAAAGTAAAAAATATGGGTTGTCTTAACATCTCATATATCCGGGTTTTTCGAAGTTGTGGCCTTTCGTGGTGCAAATAGCGGTTAGTTTTTGCCTCTTGAAGATACCTTTTTGTCCCGCAAAAATTATGAAAAGACCAATTAGCCATCAAGCCGCCTTACAAAAAGTCTAAAATTCATTAGACCAAGATTCGAAGCGCAATCCAAAATTTTCATAAATTATACTGTGCGGATAAGGTCACTATGCGAAGATCTGAGTGTCTTTGTACGGTCATACGACTATATTAAATATTTTAGAATGCCTACACACCCAATAACATAGAGAACCCAACCCAAAAATAATTTTTTTCGCAAATTTGATCGTCATTTTTGGCTCAATAAGAATTTTTTTCATTTTGAGTTTATCGATGAAAATCTGTATCTCGATGAAGTCCTGACTCCTCGCAGCATCTAAAAAAACCGAAGCCTAGGCGTTTTTGACTGTACCTCGAAATTTATGGTCGCATTCCTACCCTGTTCCAAACTTTTGTCCCACCCATTTTTAAAAATTTTGTTTTTTTGCTCATATGAGCTTTCTGATTTCTACGGTTATGCATCCATTCTGGGGTTTTAATATATTCCGATTCTAATAGAAAAGAAATAAAACTCCGATCTCAAGCCGCAAAGAAAATCTAGCCTATTCCAAACTTTAGTCCCGGGGTATATTTTGTGCTCGGGAGCCGGAGCCGCACCCAAAATTTCCGGCTCTGGCTCCCGGCTCGGAGCCAAGAGCCGGCTCCGGAGCCGTGGCAATCTCTGGTCCCAGACCTTATTTCATATTACCCATGACACTTACCAGGAAGATCCCGAGCTGTCCCGATAAACAATAAACAAAGGCAGAGTTGGATCCAAAACCTCGACGCAGGTGTATTGATCGACCATATAGCAGAATTCAAACGCAGTGAGACTATCACACTTCTCTTCAGCTTTGTATTGATCCATTGCGCCAAGGAAAAAATCGGGAAAAACGACTTCGACTTCCAAGTCAGGTGTCAGATTGGTCGGAAGCAACGTCATTGCCCTTAAAAACAAATAATAAACCGTAAAAATATACATATAATTTTAATAAATATAAAACCGCCAAAGATAATTTTCTTCTGCACTGTGCGATCCAAGATTTTAATCGGTTACGGCACAGTGCAACAGCAAAAAATTCCCTATTGCACCGCGCAAAAAACAAAAAAATCCGCACCATGCAGACATTTTTTAGACTTCCGCACTCTGCAAAATACAGCAAAATCACTAATACTTACTCCCTTTCCTTCTTTTTGCTCGCCTTTTTTTTGGTTTGATCGGCACGGGTTCCACTGGTGTATCATTCATTTCATGGATGGATTCGATCCCTTTGCACATCCTCGTTGTCTTTTCGTCCCAAATTGCTTCTTCGTAAATTTGCGCTCCCGTCGCCGAAGATTTGCACTTCTTGCGACAATCAGTTGGAAAAACGCTTTTCGTGAGTGAGCCGATCTCTTCGATTGACTAGGTCTGCTGGATTTTGCCTTCGTAGGAGAGAGAGGACACTTCGGCAGAGCTGAAAAATAGTTTTGTTTTACACCAAATTGACAACTTTTCTTTGCACAGTGCAAAACTTTGTGCTCAAAATTTATAAAAACTAGCCAACATTTTCCAAAGCATTACCCGAATTTTCGGAAAAAACACGTCTTTCTGACACCATGAAATTCTCCAAAATCCCTTGGCAAAACCCTCAAAATTCCACTACAAATTTAACTCAGCACATACCCGATCTGATTCATTTTGTAGAGGGTAACTTCCAATAAGTCCATCCGGGACATTTGTTTCTGAGGCGCTGAGGAGTTTGATCATGGGTTGGATCATCGACGGCTCTGTTATGGTCTCCAGACAGAGATGAAATTGGCGATCCGGCTGATCAGTTTGTCAATACCACTCTGAAAAAGTAAATCGGAATGAAAAAAAATATTTTTTTTCTGAAAATACCACTTAATCCATATTCCAAAAAGTTATTCACAAAAAATCGGTGAAAAAACTATTCAAAGTACAAAATTCCTCCACCTTTGTCCCATTCTCGTCAATAAAATGAAAACTTATTTATTTTCAAAAATATTATTTCTTGTTTTGAGCTGTGCCCGACCCTTCTCGGCTTGTGGCGACATTTTATACGATGAAACCTTTACGCTTCCAACGTTTCCGCGTCTTACAGAAATATGTCCCATTTAATTCTGAAAACATTCTAGGAAGAAGCTAGCATCACTATAGATTCGGAAAAACCACATTTGCACCAAAGATTTTCGATTCCGCGGAAGATATTATTGATTTTAGGTAAAAAAATTGACCAAAATTTAAAACGGTACAATGTCAAGTCTAACCCATACCAGCATAGACTTATGGCTAGCATAATGTGGTCATAATATCTCACAACATGCGATCTAAGCTTCAAAAAACGAAAACATCAAGCAAGCTTACCTCGATTTCAGTCCGACGAATGCCATTTACAGCAAGGTCCGATGTCAGAACCATGTCCTTTCGAAAGTTTTGATCCAATCACAGAAATCAGGCTCACGCTTATGTAAGACTCTGAAAAAGGAATGAATAATATTTCGTGCGCCAAAGACAAGTCAGGAAGGTAACGCAACAACAGAAAAATAATTCCACGCATTTTTTGAAAGGTCTTGGCCTTTAGTACAATATCACTGTTGCCCATTACTGACTGTAAAATTAATGGCGAAATCATGATGCCTTTAGAAGTGCGACCTGATCAAACTGGGAAACTTTTGATATTGTATTTACTTGTCAAGTGTAAGAAGAGAAACGGAGCTCGTTTTGATGTGAGCGTCCAAGAGCTCGAAGTTGTTTACATGGTTTGAAATGCAAAAAATGCGTAAAATCTCTCGTTTCCCCATAATTTACGGTTTTTGTCCAAAATAAATCCCTACCTAAAATCCAGGGTTTCATGACAAAAATCTTGCTCAAAAGATCTTAAAAATCTCGTTTTTCATCTCCAAACTCACCGATGTTTGGCTCCTCTTTTCGCATATTCCTCAAAATTATTGATGCTGGTGGCAAAAGCATCAACCTGCATCTTCAGTTTCTATAGGACTCGAACAATTCTTGGCAAAAATGGCGTGTTCATGACGTCTGAATACAACACCAAGGTCTCCAGAACCGGTTGCGGATATGAAGTTAGGACTTCAAACACGAGTGCCAATTGAACATTGGTCGTGATGCCATGTTCGACCAGTCGTTCTAGGCACGTTATCAGGGCCTCATACAGACATCCAGCGGCTTTTTCGGTGGTGCAGGTCATCAGCAATTCGCCCTGCGGCTGATTTCTGTTATTGGACAAATTCAAATCCAATTTCAAGGGATTTCCAACCATTTTTCGCTCATTTCCTATAGCTTCCAACTCGTTTTTCAGCTCGTAAACGTGCTGAAAGCGGGCGTTAAACAGGCCCATGGCTTCGTCGACGGTCTGACTAGCCAAACTCTTGTTTCCCAGTGGAATTGACTTCAATGTGGAGGTAAATTCTAGGATATTCTAGAAGAAAAAGGCGAAAAATTAAATAAAAAGTAAAACATTTTACAAAAAAATCAAATACCAACATCTCAAAACTCACCTCTTCGCTTATAGCTTTGATCAATTCAAATTTTGATGGATCCAACGGTGTTCCCATTGCTTTTATTTCCTCCTTTTCCTCGCTTTTCACCGAACTTTTTCTCGAAGTTCCGTCCGATTCGGAAGCTCCGCCGTATGCAAATTGGAAATAATCAATGTGGGATTGGGTCATGAGTTCGTAATTGGAAGTGAACATCTCATTTGGGCCTTCTTCGTTACTGAAAACATTATTTTAGACATAAAAAATTTTTGTCTCAAAATACCGACAAAAATCATATAAAAATTCGATTTTTTTTTGAATTCCCGCCAATTTTGGCATCTTTCTTTGGCTATCGCAAATGATTAAAAATTGCTCAATACAGCAAAACACAGCATTTAAACAATTTACAAGGTTCCAACAAATTTTTTAAATGCATTTTCCCTAAAAAAAATCCATTCTGCGCGCAAAATTCGTCAAAAATCGACATAACCCGCAGCCTTTTCACATTTTCAAAAAATTTCACCTCAGAGCCGAATCCTTGAACCTTCCTTCTTCATCATTTTAAGCTGTATCCAAATTGCTGACAAAATCGTCTTCTCCCAGCTGATTCAATGGGAATCTTCCGGAGTCTGAGGCATACAGAGACGCCGGATCGGATGTTCTATGGTTCGATCGGTTCGTAAAATGCCGATTCTACGCATTTGAGGCCATCGAAGATCTGCCAGAGGATAGGCGGGTGAATGACTAAAAATGAGAAATAATATACACATAAATCGCATTTGTCTATAGTGATTGTAAAATATTTTGATTTTAGATGCAGAGGGAAGAAAGGCCACGCAGTGCACAAATAGTACAGGGGTAGTGCGCTTCACATTGGATTGACACGAACGGGGGTTCGAGTACCAACGTGCGATGATAAAATGTTGCGTACTTTGACATTAAAATACGATGATAACAGGGTTCCGAGCTCTGAGCACATTTTTTGTTATTTGCAATTACAGCTCCACCTAACCTATGACCATAATTGTTCAGGTTGACCGTCATTTTCGGCGGTTAATCCGCGCATTAATAGAATTGAATTTGACTGGCGAACTAAATCAGACATTACACTTGATATCTCTTCAGATTGCAAACTGGCAGATCAAGTCTTGGCCAATAAAAAGTTGTAATTTGTGTTTCGATTCTTTAAAAAAATTCAAATTCTTAGCAAAATATTAGCAATAGTATTCATCTGTTCACTTTTAACTACAGAAACTACGGAAACATCACAATGTACCTACAAAGATCTTTTCGCTTGATAAACCAAGTTGCTTCAAGCCAAGTAATACGTCATAACCAGAGATTGCCACGGCTCCGGCTCTGAGCGGCTCCGAGCCGGGGGCCAAAGAAGGAGCCGGAAGTTTTGGGTGCCGCTCCGGCTCCCGAGCCCAAAGTCAGAGCCATCTTGTCAGCGTTCAGAAAAGTAAAAATTTCGTAACGATTCACTCTCGCACTAATAACTTATTTTTGGAAACACATTTTTAAAAAAAAAATTTTGCACAGGAGCCGGGATTCGGAGCCGGAGACCTTTTTAAATTTTGCAAGGAGCCGGAGCTGCAAATTTGGCCTCGGCTCCCGTGAGAAAATTTTTTAAAAATATTTTTCCAAAAATAACAGTTATTGGTGTCAGAGATAACAGTTATTAGTGCCAGAGATCATAAATCCAACATTTTTGCAGCCAACTCGTATGCAACACATCCTTCCCAATATTTTTCAAGCAATTTGGTTTAACAAGATCATGAATTTTTACTTTTCTGAACGCTGAGATGCCTGGCTCCGACTTTGTGCTCGGCAGCCGGAGCCGCACCCAAAATTTCCGGCTCCGGCTCGGAGCCAAGAGCCTTGGCGGCGCCAAAGATAATTTTCTTCTGCACTGTGCGATCCACGATTTTAATCGGTTACGGCACAGTGCAACAGCAAAAAATTCCCTATTGCACCGCGCAAAAAACAAAAAAATCCGCACCATGCAGACATTTTTTAGACCTCCGCACTGTGCAAAATACAGCAAAATCACTAATACTTACCCCCTTTCCTTCTTTTTGCTCGCCTTTTTTTGGTTTTATCGGTTCCACATATCATTCATTTCATGGATGGATTCGTTCTATTTGCACATCCTCGTTGTCCTTTCGTCCCAAACTGCTCCTTCTTAAATTTGTGCTCCCGTCGCCGAAGATTTGGACTTTTTGCGACAATCAGTTGGAAAAACGCTTTTCGTGAGTGAGCCGGTCTCTTCGATTGACTAGGTCTGCTGGATTTTGCCTTCGTAGGAGAGAGAGGACACTTCGGCAGAGCTGAAAAATAGTTTTGTTTTACACCAAATTGACATTTTTTCCTTGCACAGTGCAAAACTTTGTGCTCAAAATCTATAAAAACTAGCCAACATTTTCCAAAGCACTACCCGAATTTTCGGAAAAAACACGTCTTTTTGACACCATGAAATTCCCCAAAATCCCTTGGCAAAACCCTCAAAATTCCACTACAAATTTAACTCAGCACATACCCGATCTGATTCATTTTGTAGAGGGTAACTTCCAATAAGTTCATCCGGGACATTTGTTTCTGAGGCGCTGAGGAGTTTGAGCATGGGTTGGATCATCGACGGCTCTGTTATGGTCTCCAGACAGAGATGAAATTGGCGATCCGGCAGATCAGTTTGTCAATACCACTCTGAAAAAGTAAATCGGAATGAAAAAATATTTTTTTTTCTGAAAATACCACTTAATCCATATTCCAAAAAGTTATTCACAAAAAATCGGTGAAAAAAAGATTCAAAGCACAAAATTCCTCCACCTTTGTCCCATTCTCGTCAATAAAATGAAAACTTATTTATTTTCAAAAATATTATTTTCTGGTTTTGAGCTGCGCACGACCTTTCTCGGTTCGTGGCGACATTTTATACGATGAAACCTTTACGCTTTCAACATTTCCGCGTCTTACAGAAATATGTCGCATAGGTTAATTCTGAAAACATTCTAGGAAGAAGCTAGCATCACTATAGATTCGGAAAAACCACATTTGCACCAAAGATTTTCGATTCCGGCGGAAGATACTATTGATTTTAGGTAAAAAATTGACCAAAATTTAAAACGGTACAATGTCAAGTCTAACCCATACCAGCATAGACTTATGGCTAGCATAATGTGGCCATAATATCTCACAACAAACGATCTGAGCTGCAAAAACGAAAACATCAAGCAAGCTTACCTCAATTTCAGTCCGACGAATGCCATTTACAGCAAGGTCCGATGTCAGAACCATGTCCTTTCGAAAGTTTTGATCCAATCACAGAAATCAGGCTCACGCTTATGTAAGAGTCTGAAAAAGGAATGAATAATATTTCGTGCGCCAAAGACAAGTCAGGAAGGTAACGCAACAACAGAAAAATAATTCCACGCATTTTTTGAAAGGTCTTGGCCTTTAGTACAATATCACTGTTGCCCATAACTGCAACAGTGATATTGTAAAGCATACCATGTAGAGAATTGTTTACATGGTTTGAAATGCAAAGAAAATGCGTAAAATCTCTCGTTTCTCCATAATTTACGGTTTTTGTCCAAGATAAATCCCTACCTAAAATCCAGGGTTTCATGACAACATTGATTTATGAAGTTAATTCAAAAGAAGCGTGCCCTTTTCTCCATCCATGTGTATGTTGCACAAGGTCTTTATGCGGTTGATGTGCATCGTGGAATTGGAAAAAACAATTTTGAAAAAATAATTATCCCGCTTTCTCTTTTTCTCTACCGCATTTTCTCGCTCTCTTTCGCTTTTTTGTGAACCCAGTCGAAAAACAAGTGGTCGTTTTTTGGAAAGAGAGCTCGAATCAAGGTTCTGCGCTCGGCGATGACCATAGCGCGTGTAGTTCGCTATACGATTCGTTTTTTAAGAGCTGGCGTAATGATGAGAATGCGAGCCCAGCTCGAATTCTGAATAATTTTTGGAGATGACTCTCATCACTGAGCGTCTTTTTTTTGAAATTCCTCTGCTGAGTCATACTATATGAGTTACCGCGGTATTACGAACTTTTTTCGTCGCCGATCGGTGTCCAAAAAAAATGAAAAAATTAAAAGTGGTTATCACCTTGCACTTCTCTGTTGAATCAACGCATGGCCCACGTGGGACCGAATATGAGGAGCACCTGATGTCGGTTTTTACAATCCTTCTGACCGACGACGCCGAGATATTCGTTCGTTCCAAAGATCTGCAAGGATCTGAGTCAGTCCGACTTCTGATGCTCTTTTTCTGACCACTTATTTAGCTTCTTCATGGCATACAGAGACGCCTAATCAGATGTTCCATATTTCGATCGGTTCGTAAAATACCGATTCCAGGCATTTGAGGCCATCGAAGATCTGGCAGAAGAGAGGCGGGTGAAAGGCTAAAAATGCGAATTAATACACTCCGTTACGAAAGTATACCTACCCCATGGAAAATTGTAGTATCTAAGGATTGGTAAGAGATATCAAAAAACTGTTCGAAAGAGCATGTCTAAGAACCTATTACTGCGCGGTATCAGCCCGTGGAAACAATTTTGGTTTGTTTGGCAACTATTTTAATATTTTTGGCCGTTTCAAAAGTATACCTACCCCTGACGGTTTTTTGGCCAATCTGGCTCGGATTTTGAATTAACCTGCCTCGATTTCATTCCATCGTGTACCCTGTGATATTAGGAAGTGTATTACAGTCATTTCAATTGCACTTTACCCACGTAGTACTTTTGCGAGCCATCTCTCACCTTGTACATGAGGTTAATCGTAATCTCAAAAAAATCCTACATGAATGTCTTTGTTTCGCTAAAAAAACGACCTAAATAACTCTTATCGAAGGTAATACGTAAAACAAATCAATACAATGTCATGTACAGCCATCTACGTAAGAGATGGATTACCGTATACTTTCTACAGTAACCTTCACAGGCCCTAGAAACCGAAAAAATTAGTATCGATTGCAAAATTTTGTCCGTAAAATCAAACTCAGCATATCCGTAAACCTATATTTATACTCCACTAGTTTCAGAAGTGTGATATCTGTTGCAGACACTCGGTTCAAAAATGCATTTGCAAAACCTAGTGCATTTTTGCCTGTTTTTCGGAAGTTTTTGAAGAACGAACTCTACAGGTCTGGGGCCTGCTCTGCAAGGGCGTCGAATTAAAGAGATATGTTTTTCGACGTGCTGAGTCTGAATTGGCGTATCAAATTTTATGATTCGCGACCATCCGTCTTGGTATTTTAGAGCCTAAAGTGTTACGGTAGCTGCTTGTTGTAGATGATATGACGAGAAAATACTTGAAAGCTTTGAGTAAGCTGTTATATTTTCTCATGGTGAGCTATATGTGCATAATGTAACATGCAATGTAGTTTTTCAGCCAAGAAAGCAGCCTAGTCAAGAAATTTTTTGAAATTTAGATTAACCTCATGTACAAGGTCATAGATGGCTCGCAAAAGCACTACGTGGGTAAGGTACAATTGAAATGAATGCAATACACTTTCTAATACCACAGGGTACACGATGGAATGAAATCGAGGCCGGTTAATTCAAAATCCGAGCCAGATTGGCCAAAAAACCGTCAGGGGTAGGTATACTTTTGAAACGGCCAAAAATATTAAAATAGTTGCCAACCCGATCAAAATTTTTTCCACGGGCTGATTCCGCGCAGTAATAGGTTCTTAGACATGCTCTTTCGAATGGCATTAGCAGTTTTTTGATATCTCTTACCAATCCTTAGATACTGCAATTTTCCATGGGGTAGGTATACTTTCGTAACGGAGTGTATTTTTTTCGAAATTCTTTGATTTTTCCCCGAAAAATTATTCAAAAAAACCCCAAATTTTCTCGAAAAATTCTCACCTGTCGTCCACTGATGTTGTCATCGGGTATATTCAGATTCAACAAATCATTCGGTGTAATTTAAAACAATCGGTGATTTGATTACACTTTATTTCGCAATACTTTCTACCCGTCTAATTTCACCGTAAAGTATGGGTGTTTGCCTTACGCATTGTGCAAAATCAAAAAATCTTAAATTCGAGAAATTTTCTCCGTGCAAAGACTAAAAAAACTATTCTAATTTCCTTTATGCTAAAAATATATCCAAACTTGTCAACATATTTCAATGCATTACTCAAATTTCCGGAAAAACACGTTTGACACCATGAAATTTTCCAAAATCCCTTGACAAAACCCTCAAAATTCCACAACAAATTTAACTCACAGGGGAAGTACTCCAAGTGCGACGCTTAGATTTTGATGAAACTTGGCACAAATTTAGAATAATTTTATTTAAGGTATATGCGAAAATCCTAGCTCGCGCTTTGCAGAAACAACCGAGATTTTTAGATCAAAGGTCGGCCAAAATTTAGGAATTTTTGCCGAATTTCGGCACTAAAAGTTTCATGCCTATTTCTACCGTAAAGGACAATGTTTCTACACAAAATCAAATTTTTCCGCACGAAACTGCCAAAGTTATGGCCAAAAAGCGTTTTTCTCTCTGACCGCTCTCCGCGTCTAGCTTGCTCTCTCGGCGGAAAAAACGTTCGATATCTCGGCGGCGCCCGCAAAGCGCGAGCTAAAACTTTTAGGAATTGATATCTAGTCCATACCCGACGTGTGTGCACAATTTAAAGAAAATCTGAGCGTCGCACTTGAAGTACTTCCCCTGTCAGAACATACCCGATTTGGATCATGGACGGCTCTGTTATGGTCTCCAGACAGAGATGGAAACTGGCGATCCGGCTGATCAGTTTGTCAATATCACTCTAAAAAATACAAAAAAGTGGGTGAAATTATTATTCAAAAAAAAATCAAAAGTGCAACGACGACGGTTTTCCAGCTTCTTCCAGGAATCCCCATAAACATAATTGACAATTTTATTTGCGACCAATGGGGTTTTACAAAACAGCAAGGCTCCATAGAAGTTGATCAATTCCGGTTGAGCCTGAACTCTCCCCCTTTTCTGAACTTTCCCTCAATCTGAACTCTCCCCCTTTTTCAACACTCCCCCTTTTTTGATTTTCACCAAAAAATCTGAACTCTCCCCTTTTTTGAACACTCCCCCATTTTGAAAATTGAAAAAACGAGGTGTGACATGTTATACGATGGAAATTTTTTTTTAAATTGAGAAAAATGAGGTGTGACATCTTATACGATGGAATTTTTTTTTCAAATTGAAAAAAATGAGGTGTGGCATCATATACGAAATACGATATATTTCAAATCTTTTCAAAAAAAATTTTTCATCGTATAAGATTTCACACCTTACTCTTTTCAATTTGAAAAAAATTTTCATCGTATAAGATGTCACACCTCATTTTTCTCAATTTGAAAAAATTTTTCATCGGATAAGATGTCACACCTCATTTTTTCAATTTGAAAAAAATTTTGTGTGGCTAAAAATGAGAAATAATATTATATACACATAAATCGCATTTGTCTATAGTGATCGTAAAATATTTTGGTTTTAGATGCAGAGGGAAGGAATGCCACGCAGTGCACAAATAGTACAGGGGTAGTGCTCCTCACATTGGCTTGACACGAACGGGGGTTCGAGTACCAACGTGCGATGATAAAATAGCGGGCTATTTGACATTAAAATACGATGATAACAAGGTTCTGAGCACTTCTTTTTGTTATTCTCAATGATCGCTATCATATATTCTGCTTTACCCTACACAACGCATCTGTGTTTTTGATATTTGGTCTATTTTTGACCAGAAAATATGGAGGTTAAAGTAAAGAGGCAACGTCGTGAAAGGCGCCCTCCGTTTTGAGCGTCGCGAAAATTGCTTTGGTCTCCGCTCACCACACTTTTTTTTATACACAGCCCACTGGATCCCTTGTAATTTTTGTTTTTTTTTTGTCAAAATTCTTTATTATGAGATCCAGATGGAAGGGCGGTAACTAGACTTTTAACACCGGCCCGGGCCGGGCCGACCTCTTCCGGCCCGCGGGCCGGGCCGCAACTTTCGGCCCGGGCTGGCCCGGCAAAATTAGAATTCTGAATTTCAAAGCGAAAAGTTGGGTTGCCAATAAAATTAAAACGCAAAGCCAAGAATGGGGTCTATATTTTTCTCACAGTAAGCACAATTTTATAATAACAAAGCACGGAAGTATTCAAAAACGACTAATAATAAATAATTTTAATAGTAAAATGTATTAAGTTGTAATGTATATTAGTGTTTGTAGTAATTTTTTGAGCAACCACTCAAAAAAAACGTAACCGACATCTTTCTAAACAAAACTAAGTAGTTGTGTGAAGCAACACTGTCATCTGAAAGTTGAAAATCTAACGAAAAATTTGATGAACGTGGGCATCCCTTTACTGAATCTATAACATTGATCTTAAGGCAATTTTCAATAGCCTGAAAACGGATCTTGGAAATTTTTTGATTAATTTTAAAAAGGCAATGCGTTGGTTGGTATTTTTTGCTTTAAAAATTTATTGTTAGTTGTTATAATAAAGAAAAATATGTCGTGTCTAATAGCAAAGGAGGGTTTTTCATTGTTTCTGAAAATTCGGGCCGGCCCGGGCCGGGCCGCGGGCTGGGCCGGGCCGGGCCGAAGAAAAATTGAAACGGGCCGGGCCGACCTCTTCCGGCCCACGGGCCGGGCCGCGATTTTCGGCCCGGGCCGGCCCGAGAACCATGTCTAGCGGTCACTCAGTGAAAAACACTGAGTAACCGACACTACTGCTTAAGCAAAATTGTAAAATTCAGAAAAAACGATAACAGACTTCTGAGCACATTTTTTGTTATTTTCAATTACAGATCCACCTAACCTATGGCCAGATAAGTTCAGGTTGACCGTCATTTTCGGCGGTTAAACCGCGCACTAATAGAATTGAATTTGACTGGCAATGATATATCTCTTCAGATTGCAAACTGGCAAATCAAGCCTTGGCCAATAAAAAGTTGTAATTTATGTTTCGATTCTTTCAAAAAATTCAAAGTCTCAGCAAAATATTAGCAATAGTATTCATCTGTTCACTTTTAACTACAGAAACTACGGAAACATCACAATGTACCTACAAAGATCTTTTCGCTTGATAAACCAAGTTGCTTCAAGCCAAGTAATACGTCACTACCAGAGATTGCCACGGCTCCGGCTCTGAGCGGCTCCGAGCCGGGGGCCAAAGCCGGAAATTTTGGGTGCGGCTCCGGCTCCCGAGCCCAAAGTCAGAGCCACCTTGTCAGCGTTCAGAAAAGTAAAAATTTCGTAACGACTCACTATGGCACTAATAACTTTTATTTTTGGAAAGATATTTTTAAAAAAAAATTTTGCACAGGAGCCGGAATTCGGAGCCAGAGACCTTTTTAAATTTTGCAAGGAGCCGGGAGCCGAAGCTGCAAATTTGGCCTCGGCTCCGGCTCTGGGAGCTAAGAGCCGGAGCCAAAATTTTGACCGCGGCAACCTCTGGTTGGAACGAAGGGGGTTCGAGTATCAAGGTGCAATGAAAAAAATTGTATTTCCTTTGACGTTAAATTACGATGATAACGGGCTTTTGAGCAGTTCTTTTGTTATCCTCAGTCATCGCTATCATATATTCTGCTTTACCCTACACAAAGAATCTGTGTTTTCCATATTTGTTCTAAACCTTGGGGTTTTTGACCAGAAAATATGGAGTTAAAGTAAAGAGACAACGTTTTGCAATGTATACTTCCTCTTGTGCGTAATGAAAATTGCCTTGATCCCCGCTCACCACATTTTTTCATACGTCGCCCCCTGGAAGGAAGGGGGATTCCTTTGAATTTTCATTTTTTTTGGCAAAATTCTTTATTATGAGATCCAGAGGGAAGTGCGGTCACTCAGTGAACGAATACTGCAGGGGTAGCGCCGTTCGCATTGGATTGGACAAAGGGTGTTCGGGTAAGATGCTATGATTAAATGTGGGAGTATTTGACACTAAAGTACGACGATAACAGCTTCTGAGCATATTTTTTGTTATTTCCAACAAAACTGAGGTGAGCTAGTGATTTTTCAATTAAAAAAATCGAAACTTGAAAAAATTTCAAAGCTTTCCACGGTAATCATCTAGTTTGTTCAGAAAAGCTTGCAATTTCTGTTTTTTATTTTAGGTAAAACTCTCAGCGACCAATCAACTGGTCCAAATTTCCGGCCAAACCCCGCTTCTTATAACTGGGGTCAGGAAATTATGGGTGACGCAGAGTCGGGTGGTGCAGGTTCGGGTGAGAACTTTCGGGTGATCGCAAAGTCGGGTGATGCAAAGTCGGGTGGTGCATATTCGGGTGATGGAATTTTGGGGTGGGGGAATTCTCGGGTGATGAAAAATATTGCACTGAAGGCTACTAAATATAAAATATTGTACTAATGGCTACTAAATATGGCGTAATCTTGTTAAAGTCTTAAAATTTTTTAAATTTTATGCTTTTTGGGGTTTTCGACCATCAGGAATCCAAAAATAGAAACCATTTTGTTCAAAATTCTCTGTGTGTATTACTATTGTTGTTTTAATTGTAAGTAAATATAAGAATTACTGTAAATTTTATGAATAAACCGAATTCTGTATTTGTTTTGGGGTTTTCGAATATCAGGAATCCAAAAATGGAAACCATTTTGAAGTGGGAAATTTCTATGGTGATTTGGACGATGTTGTAATGATCATAACTAACTATGACGTGACATTGAAACCTTCAAAAAAAAAAACAAAAATAAATTTTCGAAAATTATCGCAGAAAAATAGTATCGGTCTGTCGGGAAAAAAACGGCGGATCGTCGCGCCTCGGAGTCGCTCATCATCGCTTTGCGACTGCAAGCCGCGGCTTGGGATTTGGTGCGCGATAGCGGCGAGGCGAGACATTTTGCTGCGACGATCCGCCGTTATTTTCCCGACAGACTGATATTCACAGAAAATTTCGAACAAAATGGTTTCTATTTTTGGATTCCTGATGGTTGAAAACCCCAAAAAGCATAAAATTTAAAAAATTTTAAGATTTTACCAATATTACGTCATATTTAGTAGCCATTAGTACAATATTTTATATTTAGTAGCCTTCAGTGCAATATTTTTCATCACCCGAGAATTCCCCCACCCCAAAATTCCATCACCCGAATATGCACCACCCGACTTTGCATCACCCGACTTTGCGATCACCCGAAAGTTCTCACCCGAACCTGCACCACCCGACTCTGCGTCACCCATAAATTCAGTCACCCCTTATAACTACCACAGAAAACGTGGTCATGGTGATCACTGGGCGGGGAAATCGCACAATCACCCCTCTACATGTCCTGGAGCCTCAAGTGGATTACGCTGAATATGATTTTCAGAATCTTAGTGAGTCTTACTGTAATTTATGACGAATTTCTTGTCTGATTCTTAGAATTTTGGGTAGTTTGGGGTAAAATACCAACATCAAATTTTTGTAGAGTTATCTCTGACAGCAAGAGTTTTGATTAACGATGATATTAGCAAATTAAAAATTTGAATTTCTAAATTCCCGCCACTTTGGTATTCTGTTTTAGCGTTGGAAATCAACTGAAAAAAGCAAAAATGAGTGCTGGCTTATAAAGTACGACAAAATATGAAATATTTTTGCGTGTTTGCCTTTTTGAGCCATTAAATTTTTCCTTTTTATTCCTTTTTTTGTCAAAAGAGTTAAATTTCTTTTTTACGGCAAAAAATAAGCATGTTTTTGTAAAATACGGCCTGATACCATGTCCGTTTCTGCATTTTTCCAATTTCGCTTATAATATTCCCTTGTTTTTCAGCCAGTTTTCTCCTCTCAACAACAGGATTCCCATTGGTTGACGTCCAAGATGAATCTCAATAAACTTATGAACCAGGAAATCTCGAATATTGAAGATTTTCCGCCGGTTTTGGGGGAAAAGTTTCCGTGGTGAGGGTGGGAATAATGTTCATAACTCAGGTGATGGTGCTGTGAATGGCTTTCCTTTCGACAGTAATTAATTTTAACTAAACACCTCTACACTTATTAGCCCGTATTTTAACAATGTTTTTTCTACTTTTTTGGACCGTTTTTGGTGAATATATAAATGGTCATGGTTGAGACAGAAAAGAATGTCAAAAAATGATATTACGCTAGTCAAAGGTTAACTACTTTTTAAAACTAAAAATTCTATTTAACAACATAAATTGTGTAAATCTTGACTTTTTATCGTCAAAATCGCCTATTTTCGACATAAAAATGCCTTTACAAAAACCAAACCTGCCAAATCTGGAGATAAGAAATCAGACAAAATGCATAAAATTAATTTCTCGTATGGTTTTTCTAATGTAAAAGTACCTTTCTCTGAATTATTTTATGTTTTTGTAAATTTGGACATCGAACGAAACCCCAAAGTGGCCAGGACACTGATTTTTCCCATTTCGGGTTGCGGCGGCATGTCGTCCAAAGGTAATTCTTCTCGAAGTACAACTTATTTTAATGATTTTAAAAATATGGTCAATAAATGAGGGGTTTCTGACCAGAAATACACCGTGATTATCAAAAAATCGCGTATTTACAAAATATTGTCGTTTGAAATTCATTGGGAAGAGTTATCGACCGGTGACTGAATAGTGCAGTGGCACTATTCACGGCGTTGTGCTCAAAGTAAGGCTGGTTCGGGACTGCCTTGGTGCGATGATTAAATATTCGTCTATTTGACTGAAAGGATGACGAAGACAAATATCTGAGCCCATTTTTTGCCACGGTCAAACGTCGGTTTCAGCGACCTTCCACTAATCAACCTGTGTTGTGAATGTCTCCTTGGCAAATTTCGGCTGCGGATTGCCGTAAACCGGGTCCGATGGCGTCACGGCTTTAATGCCTTGTGATGACGTCGTTGTGCTTTTCGACCCTCAGCACGGTGCTCCCGTTACTACTGATTTAAGTAAACTCAAAAGATGGCGGAGTTACCCTTTATATATTCTACCTAGATCAATATAACATTAAAAATTGGATTACGAAAGAGGAAGCCTTTGCGCCTTTTAATGTGACCTTCGGAATGGCGGATCTTTTCTTCTCGTCATTATTTTTAAGCCGAAACAAGGTCGGACGGAGAAGAGAGTATTCAGCTAGTTTCTCGATGTTCTCCCTCCAAATTGTAATTGTATTATGTGCGGTTATCATTTATCAACTTTTTGTGATTCGGAATGAACACGATTTTTTGAGCAGACAGTAAGTCAAAAGTTGTTGTATACGTATTTGGTTTGTGAACTTCTCAACTTCTGCAAACAATGCCATCGTAAATGATGCAAGGCCTGTGGCATGGGTTAGGGGAAAACATGTAAGTTTTCCTTCTTTTGATTAACATCTCCCGCATGTTGCATCCATGAATAGCATTTAGAGCTCAACGGATTATTTGCGTCATATTAAAACAGTGTTCAAGCGAATAGGCTTTAGAGTAATTGAGGGTGAAGATGAACCCTCAAGGTGGAATGTTTTGTGGTCTCATGAATACCCAATGACATCTTTACGAGATGTAATCTCAAACGTTCAACCTACCCAACTGATAAATCACATTCCCGGAAGCGCATACTACACTTTTAAAGTAGGGTTGTTCTCAAGGCCTCGCAGAAAATTTTTAGGTTCTTTTAGCTACCGCCGCCCTTACAAAAGGCGTACCAAAGTCGTTTGCTCTGCCAAGTCAAGGATTGGAATTTAAACAATACGCCAAAGACCACCCGAAACTCGAATGGGTGCAAAAAAGCAATGCGCATAGGGAGATTCGGGTGTTGACCGCGGACAACGTCAATCTTCTTCAAGAGGAGAGTTTCGTACAGCAATACATCAACAATCCGCTGCTTATTGATGGGAAGTAAGGAGAAGTCGGCATTAACAAAAATTTTTCTCCAGGAAATTCGATATTGGTATCTATACCGTCGTTACGTCCCTCTCACCGTTACGTGTTTACATCTATGAGAATGAAATTCTGCTTCGGTTCTGCTCCAAATCTTATCACCCTTTTGATCCCGTTGATTTGGATAAATACGTTGTTGGAGACGATTACACACCGTTTTGGGAGGTAACGATTTTAGAATAATTCTGCGTTTTTCAACTTGGAGACTCCGGGATGAGATTTGATATCCCAAAATTCATTTTTTACAAAACTGTATTTTCTCGTTTTTGAAGGCTTCCGTTTTAAGCTTATGATTTAGATGAAATTTTCAGATGCCAACCTTTCGATCGGCCTATAATCATCAAAAACTCTCCTTTAAATCCGCATTTGCCCAATATCTGCAAACAAAAAACAAGTCGATCGATTACGTCATGAAGCAGATTCGTGAAACCATTCAACAAGTATTTGAAAAGTTGAATCATAAGATGAGGGCCCAGTTGTCCGACCACAACTATCCGCAAGTATTTTTCGAACTCAGCAGGTTTGACTTCTTAGTTGACGAGGATCTCAACGTGTTCTTGATGGAAGCAAACATGTCGCCAAACTTGAGTTCACAGCATTTCAAACCGAATGCATTGTTGTACGAGCAGTTATTGGTAAACATTTTCTCATTGTTAGGAATTACTCAAAACTACCGCTTCGATGGGGCGTAAGTTTAGTTTTTAGCTTTTGAGAGATGCAGTTTTTTTTCCAATTTTCTAGACCACGGATTAGTATTTCGGACGCATTTCGATTTGCAAAACTCTAAATGCTGCTTTATGATCTATATATCTGCAAAGTCGTCCAGTGGTTCAGCAAAGTGTTAGACTGGTCCAAGTTTCCCAGTCATTCTGAGAACCATATTTTTACTAGTGCTTTTCTTTGACAAACCGGACAAACACTACTAACAATAAGTATTTGCAGTTGGTCAGATGCGTTCCGCTATGTCGAGATTCCTGAGCGTTCTCTGCACGTGCCATTAGAGATATGCAAAACTCGTTGTGGTTCTTGCCCAAGCGAGGTCGTAGAATGCTCGTTGTGCGCCTACTGTATGCCAGAAAGCCTAAAGCTGCATTTAAGCAATGCATACGTTGAGCATTTGGGACGACGAGAAATGCGAAGGGTTGTCCCAAAGCTTGACAGTTCCGAGACCGAGTTGACTTCGTACGACTGGCTGCAGAAACGATGGTTCCAACTTAAATGCAAAGAGGACGTCTCCTTCTGTTAGAGCTTTCATTACGTTAGAAACTTGTTTATTCGACCGACATAAACCACATCAACGAAGTTAATAAAAAATCAAAAATATATTCATAAGTGGTGGTAGTGCTGGGAATGCGGCGCTCAGATTTTGATAAAACTTCATAAATTTTACATGTTAGACTTATTTTTTAAAACAAGCCCCTTGCTAGCTGAATTAAAGAACCAACTTGGCTAAACCTTATCAGGCATGACTGAATCAGTCCGCCGCAAAATCGGGGAATGGATGATATAGCAGGGGTGCGTGCGGTTCTGGCACTTTCCGATCCTCCCCAAAAACATCACTGATTATCGATTCAAGTACGTTCTTTTTCTCCGGTTCGCGTGTTGTGGTTGATGTAGGCGGCGTTGACGAATGCGGTTTTTCTTTTACGCAAATCGTGGTCCCCGGCTGGAATTAATAAACCGTTTAAACGTAATTCGTTCTTTAAGCAAAAAAATTTTCTCTTTAGAAAGTTTACAGAAACAAAATCATACCTCAAGAGACTCGCAGTTAGCGTCATGATTTATTAACGAAAACTGTTCTTCTGTCAACCCATACGCTTCCCATATTTTTGGGCAATCCTCGTTAGGCTGTACTATGTGTTCAGTCAAACAGTTTTGACAGTTGCAACTGTTAAACAGTACAATCAGAAGAAAAGAAAATATTCGATGAAACGCCATTTTAAAAATTGGAAGTCTGTTTTGGTTACCTGTAAAATAATATTTTTTAACTTGCGCAAAGGTCGACTGAAGGTCTTTTTTTGAGAAGGCTGTGAAAAGAAAACAAATTCAATTGAGCGAAAACTTTTGCTGTATGTATAATACATTCGGTTTCCCTTGGCTCCCCCAGTCAATCCTTTCAAATATTGTTTTATTTCGCTATTGGTTGCTGTAAAGGTATTATGGTTGACACCTTCTTTTGATAAGGCTATCACATTTGTGTTTTTCCTCAACGGAAAGTCTGGTTATTTTTTTAGAAAACTGGCTACCGCGGTGAGGGACAGCCCAACCTTTGACAGGTTGGCTCGGTAAGGAAGTGATGAAATTTTGGGCACGGAACTTTCAAATTGGAAGGGAGGCATTGAGCTTCAACAGAAAATCGATTTTTGGCGTTAGAAGTTTCAAGTGCGCGCACGCAGAGGAAAAAATTTACAGCGCAAGCCAACGGCTCACAGCAATTTCTGAGAAAAAGCTCCATTGGAAAACCCCAAACATTCATTCGCATAACGACAAATCTTTTTTGGCCCATCAATTTACAATCACACATGCCAAATCGTTACTATTAGTAAGAATAAAAACTTTATTACAAAGTGAAACAAACCATTTTAGCACTTTCAATAATTACTGAACAAAATACAAGCTAAAATCCAATACTTTTTATCGTGATATAATAAAAACGATACGCTGGACCATTCTTTACTGGGCACGCTCGTACACTCGCTTGGCCTTGACACCCTCGCTTTCCATTTCCATTATCAACTTGTCGCCTTCAATGTAACGGACGAAGCGGCTGTCCTTGTCTCCGTCTTTGATCTTCTTCTGCACTTGAATGAGCTTGCCGTCTTCAAAGGTGAAGGTGCTCTGAAAAGTTTCAAGATTATCTTCATTAAAATTTATAAAGAAGTTTTGGTGTCTAAAAGTCGGAATCAATAATAAAAACAGCTCTTACCTTCAGAACACGGCCATCAGCGGTGGTTTCCTCAAACTCCTTGCCCAAATCGAACTCGGTGAGGACGTTCTTGAAGGTGGACTGACTGTGCAATTTCCAATGGTCACCCTCGACTGAGATCTCCAACAGAGGCTTCAAGGTGGCGGCCATCTTACGGGTAATGAGTCCAACACCGACCTGCTTCATGTAGGCATCGAAGTTGTCAGATTCGATCAAGTTCCACTTTCCGACGAATTGTTGGGCCATTTTTCGCAAGTGTAGTCGTTGTTCTGAAGGTGTGTAAGTTAGCGCAACGCTAAAAAGACGAGGCGCGATATGTGACGCTAAATAAAACATCCGGCCGGTTAAATGTTCGAGGAAATCGTGAAATGACTTGAATAAAATTGTTTTTCAGTTCAGGAATTTTCTTGATACTAGAATAAACAAGAAGAGCACAAAAGAAAAAATTATTTAGAACAAATTCGCAGTACATTACAAACCCAAAAACCATAAAACGAAATAAATCTTTTCGACAGGCCATCTCCTTATAAACACCCCAACAGAGACAAAAATCACGTTCACAACAGTGTTCTGCCCATCTTATCAATCACTGTTTATTTTCCCGTTCGCTATCATCGTGGAAGCCCCAAATTACAAAACCAAAGTGACTTAAAATTACTGGAGCAAAACCTGACCGTAGGCCCAATGACAAGAAACACAGCATACCAGTCCATTTTAAAAACGCCAAAAATTTAGGTACTACTGCATCCGTCAACTCAAATTTTCCATAAAATAACAGCCAATGAAAAATTGGGTCCATAAAATCTAGTGTTCGGGAGAAAAAATGAGATGATAAGGCTCGAACACTGTCGTCTCTGCTGGAAAATCAAGGCCAAAGTCCATAAAACACATTGTTTACCGCATTAGAGTCAAATAAAAACCCAAAGCTTCTGTTTCGAACACTAAGAACACTCGCCGGACCCTACGAGAAGCAAAAAACATGTGCTTTGGGAGTTTCTTTTTTGCCCGAAAGGGTCAGATCCGCAGGCATCTCTCTCCGGATGAGTAATCTTGAAAAATGCACTAAGGATCCTGTATATCAGATAAGAAATGGGCTGATAGGACTAAAAATTTAAAACAGAGACCCGCAGAAAACAGTAAAAAAGCAATTCTCGGATATTACACTACACATCATTCTTGCTTCAAATAAATTTGTCAAACTAAAGCAGTAGAAGCAATGATACCACCTAGAAATATTTGAGGATGTGCTGAATCACAGTCTCAAGCACTCGCACAACGTGGAATGAATGAATCATGGACAATATAATTTGGAAACATCCGAAACCCTGGAAATGACTCAATCTTGTGCATAAAAGGCCCGGTTATTCGAAAAATGGTCCTTGTTTTGGCTGTTCAAGGCCTTCCCCTCCTCAAAAAAAAACACGTGGCAAAGTGAAAACAAAACTGAAGGGGGAATAAGATAGGCCGGGAGAACAAAGAGCATCACGCTATTTTTGTCAACAATTACGTCCCCGATCGCATTGTAAAGAATTTTTTAGGCATTGACATGGAAGGTTCGAGAAGAATGAAGCGATTGCGACAAAAAAGGCAAAGTTTAGGTACAAAACAAGCGTCTTCGCCAACCAAAACAATTTTCGAAGCAAAAACGCGCAAATAATCCAACATTTCAGCCCTCTTCATCGCAATGAAAGCTCAGTTACCCATTTGCAACACCTAAATGTGGAAACACAGCAAAAACCCCCCGAAAAAATAGTGAAGAACCGTTCGAACGCGAGGAAAATAAACAATTTCGAAAAAGGGGAGAGAGGAGAAATAAACGTTCCCGCAGGCCAGCGAGAATGCCAATTCTCCCTGAACATCAGGGAAATTTTCAAAAATTTTTGTAAAAAACGCCCATTTTCGAGAAACTTTACGATGAGAAAAGAGGGAAAGCTGCGCCCGCGATTACGCCCATTTGAAGAAATTGCATACGTTGTGGGAGTTTGTGGGAACACAAAAAAAATTGCCGTAGTTTTAATGGTGAAATTGAACTTTTTTGCAAAATTTTTGTAAATTTTTGCTAAAAAATCGTTAGGATTTAAAATTTAAAAAAAACAAACGTTATCTTTGCAAAGATCTTTGCCAATTTCGGCGAAAAACATTATTTTTGGTGGAAAGATTGTGCCCTACAAAAAACTATAACTTTTTTGCGTTCTTTCGACCTCAAAACCTCAATCGGGAGCTAGGAGTCTCGCATATTCTCAGAAAAAATTATCTAGATTTGTTGGGGGTACTTTCGCCATAAGTTACAGGATAATGTCAATCAAAATTTGATAAACCAAACTGCTGTCTATGGGGTAATTAGGTACAAATTGTGTGTTCCCGAAGATTGTTCATTTCTTATCATTGTCAACTGGCCCTTCTGATTGATTTTTGGGGTTCCATTAATCCGTGGAACGGCCGTTATACAGGGTGTCTCAAGAAATAGAACTTGACTTTACGGTTATTTTTTATTACGGGTAGATCGGTTGTTCGCTTGTAACCTACCAAATGCCTGGCCATAGTTGTGGATCACATGAGCCAAGAAATCGAGCTGCCAGAAACGAAATAGGAGAGGCTTTACACTCACATATCAAAGTTTATTTTTAGTGTAACATACATGTGTACCTCGGTCTTATATCCGAATTTATAATGTTGGCGCACACTAACACGACCGGAAACTACATCAAGAATTAAAGGTTAATTTTAAAAAAAATTGATTATAAAGTATAGCTAAAGTGAACCCAATAAGAGAAAATTCAAAAGATCAGCAAACATTTGTACAGAATACAACATTGACAATGTCTCTTCCGACATGATATAATTTAGATTAACAATATTTCTTGAACGACCTAACAACAGACAAACTGGGACGTCGGATGTTCCCAACAAACACAATGACTTTGTTTTATCGAGCGCCAGTGTCGCTGTCAGTGGGACCAGCCGAATCGTAGACGGCGTCACTGTCGCGAACTTCGCTTTGCAAGCAACAAGCCGGCTGTTCGAGGGTTCCAGCGCCGCAATCGCAGAAGAATCTGAAATTCAAATTAATTAAATTCTTTGAGGATTGTTTTGCTAATGAGCAGAAAAAATTCTTTTTCAGCATCATACTAAGGGAAATGTGATGTTTAGAGCTTAGCGAACTTATTAACGCCAGACTTACCGGTCATGTCTCACAAATTCCACTTGATGCCCAGCATGACAATGCTTTATGCAGTTAACACATATGGCATTTCTGTCCGTTGTGTTGCATGTGATGCATCTGAACTCATGGTGTTAAATATATGGTTAATAGGAAAACGGTAGCACCAATATTAAACCCACCTAAAAAAGTCGTGCATGGGAAACGACGTGCAAGAGCTGATCTTGAACAGACAGTAGCCTGAATTTACGGCCTTCTCAACGGAATTTGCATTTTCGTACACTCGGTTGTCTCGAAGGATTGGCTTTACATCGCTGGCCGTGCAAATTCCTCCGAATTTATTGTTGTAGACATAATTCGACTCCAGGGTTGCCGTAGCCCCACTTGTGACCTCAATTCCGGCTGCTCGTCCGTCGTAAACCTTGTTCCTCCTCATAGTGGGATTGCTTTCCGTTGAGATCAGTACCCCCGCTTGGGCATTCCTATATATCTCGTTGTCTTCCAGCAGACCTTTTCCCTTGTTGAAAATGCATACACCTCCGTCTCGTCCGTCGTAGATCTTGTTTCGTCGTAGGATGGGATTTGACTCAGTCTTGATCCAAACGCCGGCCATAGCATTGTCAAATATTTCATTGTCTTCCAAAACTCCCGCGCCGTTATTGTAAACAAGTACTCCTCCATTTGCGCCACCCCATATTTTGTTCCGCGTGATCTTGGGATTGGAGCCGGTACGGATTTGTACTCCCGAATACAGATGGTTGAAAATGTCGTTTTCTTCCAGCAGGCCATGCCCGTTGTCGTAAAAATACACACCAACTTGTCGGCCACTGTGAATACGATTACGCCGCATAATGGGCGTCGATCCGGTGGTTACCCAAATTCCAGCCAAGGAGTTCCCATAGACTTCGTTTTCTTCAACAAGACCTTTTCCTTTCTCGTGAACATAAATCCCACCGTGCATTCCATCGTGAATCTTGTTTAACCTTACAATCGGATCGGAGTTAGTGCGTATTTGAATTCCGGCCAATGCGTTCCCGAAGATGTTGTTTTGTTCTATCAGTCCTCTTCCCTCACTGAAGATATAAACCCCACCTTGACTGCCGTGGAATATTTCGTTCTTTCTTATGGTCGGGTCTGAGTGTGATGTAATCCAGACGCCCGCGAATCGGTTGGAATATATTCGGTTTTCCATAAATTGACCTCGCCCCCTTTCATGGACGTATATTCCTCCGGTACGGCCATGGTGAATGTCACATCTCACAACCGTTGGATTTGCGTGCATTTTTACTTCGATTCCGCTTATCGTGTTTTCGTAGATATTGCACTTTTCAAAGTAGCCGTTTCCATGTTCAAATGTGAATATTCCGACGTCCAAACCGTGGTGAATCTCACAACGGCGAAAAGTTGGCTGAGCGTGATATTTTACCCAGACTCCTGCCAGCCGATTCCGCGCAATATCGCATTCCTCAAATAGCCCCATTGCATGGTCGTTAATGTAAATACCGACATTTTGGCAGTCTAAAACTTCGCACTGTCGAATTCTGGGGTTGGCTTTAGCTTTGCTGACGCAAAGAGCGGCTCCTAGACTGGAGGTTGAATGTATAATACATTTTTCGATTAGAGGGCTCGAATCATCGGTAACCAAGAGAGCGTAATGATTGGCATGTGTGGCTGGACACAATTCCACTGGGTTGAAGGTTACTTTGATATAGCCGAGGTAACAGTTGAGTGACCCGCCTGTGAAAGCGACCGTAGTGTCTACCACGCTATCTATGACGACGCTTTGAGCGATTTTTTGTTCAGCGCCTGAAAAAGATTCCTTTAAATTGCGTCTTGAGAACGTTAGGTATTAAAATTACAACTTACTAGCTCCAATAATTTGAACACCATTGGGAATATTGACTGTCGAATCAACTTGATATGTTCCGGTATGCAGAAAGATTAGTTTTTCGTGGTCAGGACGAGCCTCGACATAACTAAGAGCGCCTTCGATTGTGTCAAAATGGGCAATTTTACAATGGCCAACGCCGTTTGCCATATCTTGCCGCACGTGGACGCCTTGTCTTAGTTGAAGATAGCTGTCGCGCCACGGATTTGGTCGGCGGCAAGCTTTAACCTCACGAAATTCGAATTTACCATGGCCCGTGTGGAAAAGGGGGAGACGATATTCAAAGATTTCTTCGTATTTCCGTCGCCACAATTCCGTATCATTGGCGAGGCAGAAGAACCGACGACAAACTGCGGAACACCGGGCCAGGTCGTCTACGTGTAGGTACGAAAACACCTAAACAGGGAAAAAGTATTATAAAATAAAACTCTTAAGTTAAGACTATCATTACAAAGAAAAAGCATTTATTTCTATACCTTTGATATGACTTCAGTAGGCAGCCTACTGATGTAACCTTCATTTGAGAGGCATTCTCCATCCACACCGGCCTCGTTTGTATCAGTCTTCGTCCCATTGAAGGCTTCCCCAGGATAGTCGGGTTTCATCGATTTTACACTGGGTTCCAAAAGTTGTTCGTCGCCCGTTGACGCCATCATACTGGGACAATCCTCGGGTTCGGGCTTGATATGTCGCTTGGCACTGCGGCGCAATAAATTTTTCAAATCCAAGACCTCGTCCATAATTGGCGCAATGTCGGCCAACGGATTACTCGGCCCCGCCGACGATGAAGGGCTTACGCTTTCCGCTGTTGGAGGCGTGAGGTTGAACATGTTTATCGCTGTGTATAGCTGCTTTCCATCCTCCGTGTCGCCGCCCATTTTGTGTACTTGTAAGATAAACGACTTGGCCTGATTTTTGTCAAAGCACGGAATAAGCTATATGTATTGTGTGGTAGTTTACTGAGTTGTTGGATGACGATCGGAAGTTGATGATCTACGACCTAGTAAGCAACCATGTGCTTCACTTTCAAGTAATGTTGGTTATCACTATCCTTGGCCAATAGCAAATGTAGTTTCCAACCGTTTTTTCAGCAGTGCCCAAGTTTTGTAGTAATATTAAATACGAACAAATGTTGTACCTCCTTCTTTCAGGAAGGCCCACCGGACTCTGAAAAAGCACATGGCATTAAGCGCGGTGATTGGAAATAAAAAATATTTCAGTTACCGCAAATAAACCTCGGGATATTCACCAATTAAAGGGACCTTGTTTGCCCTTTTATACGTAAAAAGGGGATTGAAATTTTTGTATGCAAAAGTTCCAATAAAAACAATTTTGTTTTGTTCTGCATGAAGCTTCTAATTTCAGCGTATACAGGAAAATTAGCATTTTTAACATTTTCAAGAGAAAGCGATGTCACAAAAAACAAAATGAAACGAAAAAGCCTTTCCGAAAAGATCAAAGATTCCAATATCATGAAATGTTTGGCTATAGATCTTAGGAGTTATGCAATATGACACGAAATTAGAAATATTAAAGTCAAGTATACCCAAAAAAGGCGACAAAATGGAACTGCGAATGCAATGCGGAAGTTTTAATGGAAATTTGAGAGCCGAGCAGAAAAGAGCGTTTACTCTGCCGGCCGACGTCTTTTTTCTTATTTCGTCCCCACTCTTTCACCAGCCGACCCCGCAGAATTGCGAGAAACCCATCGAAATAACCTTGAATTATGCGCTGAGACCAAGGCACCCAAGATGCGCGTAAGTTGGTTTTTGAGGATTTAAAGGCAAACGTGATCCGATAAAAACGTTTTGATCAACGAATCGTGCGTGCTAAATAGCGTTGTTATCGAGGAATTTTAAACTGAAAATTTTTGAATTTCCGTAACATAACGAAACATGTTCCATTCAATCAAAAGAATGCGTTTTTCTAAAGTAATCGGGCATGTTGGCGGTAGTGATGGATTTATAAAACGGAAAAATCAAAGATATCCTTTTTCACTCTTACCCTAATAGCAGTCTAAATCTTTTACATCCATATTATGTAAAGCTCAAATCTTAAGACACAAAATAATTACGTCCTAAATTTTCTGAGGCCAAAAACATGAACAAACACAGAAAAAAACCACAAATAAAATTTTGCCGCAGGACAGCGGAACGGGTGAATAAAGGACACGAAAAACGTTCTTTTCGAAAAAATGTCGAAAGGAAGGCCTTGTTTAAAAGCTAAACCGACTTTGTTCGAATATCATATGGACACAAATAGGAGTCAATCTGGACTACAAACAGTCACAAAGGTAGAAAAGTGCCCGAAGTGTTTATGTTTTTTTGCGTGCCATATACGAAATATCCAATGTGCTAAACTCCAATGAAAAAACCCGTCTTAAAACTCTTAGGAATATTGTTAGATAGCCGTGAAATTAAGCCATATTTAAGATATTTGCTAACACAATCCTCGGCTTGAAAACCCAAGAAATCGCTGTGAGATTATGGCAATTTAAGATGCACCAAGAACGTAAATTTTGAAACAACGGTTTAACAAATGCCGTGCCAAAACATCGGAAAAAACACGTATCTATACAATGAAATAGAATCAGACGAAAAAACCTTTTCTTCATCTCCCTCGGATTCAGAAGTATTGATTCGGAGAGAGGAGAAAGAATCCACAATATTTCTCTCACTCCCCACCCCGCACACAGCCTTCACCGTCCGATTTTTTATGAGAGCTTTTCTTCGGATATTCTCCTTCCTAAAGTGCAGCTGGGGTGAAGGAAGTTGTCGGGAAGCAAAGGCGCGCCGGGTGGAATGCTAAATTTGGAGGGATGCGCCTTGGGTCATCAAAAGGTAAAAACATGTTTGGAAAATGGTCTTGCAGGAGTCAATTGTAAGTTTCGCATTGCAATTTCGATAAAGCATTCAGCTTATTGAAAAAAGCTCGAAACATCTCAAAAAATGGTGATTAATCACCAAATTATTTAAGTTGTAAAAGACGGCAACGAACAAAATATTAAAAATTAAATCCAGCCCAACAAACGCGCCGACCCTCACTGACCAATGGGATTAAAAAAACCCTAATTCATTCGAATGTTCGTCCGACCTTGTGACGATCGCCTCCGGTTCGGAAGAAGAAAGGATCTAACGCTGCGCGCAGAGTTCACACGCTTCCCCCCAAAATCCCATCTGCTGACGATGAGTAGGTTTCAGCCGACACGAAAACGGTTCAAACATTGGAATTATTGTCATAAACCCTACACCGAAGAAGCGATACAAAGATCCTGTTATAGATTTGCGATGTGACCGATAGAATGTTGTGTACTCTGTCGAAGATGACATCGTACGCAACTAATCAAAGAAATAAGAGATAATTGGGGTATGAAGCAAAGCAGAATTAAACTTTTGACAAAGATGAGAGGTGGCTTACATCCAGCAAGTCAAGGGTCAATTGCATTATCAGCACAATCAAAAATCTGAATTTCCTGCCTATCATCCGCCCCATATTATTGTTCTCTTTCAGAAACGCGTTAAAGTTTATCTTCCCATATCCAAAAAAAAAAACAATTGATTGCCCTCAACCAGATTGTTGCAACCACAAACATATAAAGAAGTCTTCCCTCCAGCAACCATTACGCCCCTTCTTTTCGCCCAGACAGGATATTGATGCTTTGCTCGGGCAACTCTCTCACATCTCCGCAGTGTCTCGCTTCCGTCCGTCTCCTAAGTGCACATTGTCTTTTGCAAATCGCGATCTCTATCGCAACGTGATGACCTAGATGGAAAAGAAGAATAAGGAAAAATGGTGAGAACACATCATGAAAGTTAGAGCTTCTGAGTCTCTGTGAAGAGGGGATCCTTGGGCAAGCTTTTGGAAGAAACCACGATGAACAAAAACATTAAATTTGAGTTATTGTTAAAACCTAATTGCAAAAAATCCGAACACATGAGGGAAATCAGCAAGCCGAAGGCAATGAATGTTAAATCTAAAAACTTGTACTATAACGATGCCTCATTTATACAGACCAGACAAATTTTACAAAACACAAAACGCCAAAACGCTTTACCACAAACATGACTTTTTACTCATCGGTGGTGACAAAAGTGCAAGCATTATTTATGTAAACGGAGCACAAGTGCAAGAGATCAGATAAAAAAGCATCAAACCCCCTTAAACCGAAATTTTGAATCGATGGGAGTCAAAAAGAGCGTCGACAATTGACGACTTCCACTGTCTTCTCTACTCAACTCCTAAAACGAAAAACTCCCTTCGTTTCCTTAGAAATCTCTTCGCGATGCCTCCGGGGATCAAGTTAGATTTCCGGAAAGTTCGCCCCAAATCCCTCCGGCAACTTCCCTCGCCTCCCTCCGCCTGAATAACCAGTCAGCCGAACAACAGAAAAGTTTGAAAAGAGCTTGGAGGTCAGTGTAACGGATATAGAGAGCAGAGAACTGATGGTGTGCCCCATTCTCAAATTACAACCGTTTTATCATTAAATGATCAGCTAATTAGAAGAATTTCATCCAGATGAGTCGAAACGCCAAAAACTACTGGTTTACAAAACAGTCAATAGAAACTCGACATCTTTTACAATCTAACGGCATCAATAAAAAAACTTCATCCTTCCCCGTTTTGTACCCTGCGGGCGATTGCCTGTCTAGACTCGAATAGGCGCAAATCGAGGTCAAAGTAAGGCTCGACACGTCGCAGATCCAAACTAAAAGGCATGTGACGAAATACTGGATTTTCTCGAAGTTAAGATTAAAAGGAAAGTCGTACAATGCGCGAAACATCAAACAATCGGAAAGTTTCTACATATTAAGATATTCGTATCATTATCGTCAAAAACGTACGCCCAGTTACTAAGGCACTCATCCTTTCTTCATAAAAGGGCATATCCCCCTCTCACGCTGCCCTCTCACCTCCTGTTTTTATTGTTGTTGTAGAGGGAGGATTCCGTCCTACCACCTAAAAGTAATTTTTGCGACTTCCTTTAAAAAAAGGGACGGTGCGAAGAGGTACCTTGCCTCTCTTTAATTCTTCTCTCCACAAGATATGTCCTTGATTTCCGCACTGGATTCGGTGTAAAAGCGAGAAAAGTATTGCGAAATATGACATAAATTTGACAAATGTTTATTTAGACGCCGCTTTCCTGGATGGATATGTAACTGATTTGTAATTGATAAAGCCAAAAAAACTGTCCAAAGACCCGTACCGGACTGCTCCCTCGAACCAGTAAAACAGCAACAAACTGATGGTATTTAGCTATATCATATCTGTAAAGTTTTGTGCAACTTTAGTAAGAGTTTCTTTATTAGCGAGGAAAATCGTCTTGCAGCAATTCGTTTCGTGCTTCTCCTTGAAGGCGAAGGTGGAGGGTCGAAAACCGGATCCGCTTCTCAGAGGATCGCTCTAAATCGGAAAATTAGAAAGCCCCAGGCACCGGATGAGAACTTTTGAACGGGCTAGCAAAGCTTTTTGAAGACATTCTCAGATACAACGTACAAAAAGACCGAGCACATAAGGTGCGCCATCCGGCCTACTCGGCTAATAACTTGGAAAATAAATATAATACACAAAAATTTTCAAAATCTGCAGAGTCCCATTTCTTGCCATACATTTTTTTACACCAGTTTTTTTATTGGTGTAAGTGAAATTCAAAAGTAACCTTTACAGAGCCTAAGGGCTTATTATGTAAGTCGGTTATTACACATTACAAAAAGGGAATCAGAGATCCTCAACACGGTTTTTGTACGTCTCAATCCTTTTTTCCAAGTTAGTACTATATTATACCTTCTAAATCGAGCTGGCCCACTCTAAAATGTCTCAATGACATAAAACCCCGTCAAATACCTATGAAACGACGCACAAATACTCCTGAAATCTTTCCCGCAATAAATTGAAAATCCAGAAATGCCTTAGGGCGCGAAGAAAGGGGAACAAGGTCATCGATGGAGAGGTCACCACGCCTTCCAAATGTTTAGCCGATCTTGATCTGAAACCCGAATTCCTTGCCGAGACCCAGAAGCTTTTCGTGAATCCCAAAAGAAATGGGAATTCTAGAAGCGAGAGAAAAAAAAGAAATGATTGTGAGAAAAGTCGAACGGCCAGGGCTTTTTCCTCGTTTACTTTTAATATAACGACTCTCTTTCTATGATAAAATTGAAAAATTGAAAGAAAATTGACGACACCATGTCAGCCATGCCATGAAATACCAAATGACTTTGATTTTGTCCGTAAACTCAACAAATCCTGTCCATTTTATTTGAAAAGTGGAATATAATCGTAAAAATAGATAGCTTCGGCTATTATAACATCACCAACCCAAAAAGGTTGAATAAGACATCGCCCCTTATTTGAAAACGACTTCAAGTTCAAGTGTAAACTAATTTTCGTCAAGCTTTCCGTCGACGGAAAGCTTGACAGACGCGTCTGAATCGACTCTTCTTTTTTCCGAACAAGTGGATTTGTTCTGCGTTTCGCCGCGCATACCCTGAAAATCAGGGGAATCAAAAAAAATAAAAAAATCGTCGGATTTTTCTCGTGCGATTTTTTCGGTCGTTTTCGGTAGTGTTGCTTTCGAAAATGGTGAAAACTCGTCGAACAATAGTGAAAAAGAATGCAGATGCATTCGATCTTTGGGAGAAAGGTAAGTGCGATGTTGTACTTGATCAGTAATGTTATTTTTTGGGAGTGGGGCAGAATGCGGAGGTTTTACCAATTAAAATTAGATTTCTTACAAGATAGAAGGAACCATTTTAATTGCAACAGTTTTATTTCGGCGAACGTGTAAACGTTTAGGTCTTATTATTATTTCGGGGAACGTTTAGGTACTTATTCATTACATTTGCAGTTTTTATTTGTATTTTATTATCCAATCTTCAGATTTCACTCCGAAAGAAGCGAAGAAACACACCGAGGGAGTGAATCATTACTTGAAGGAGACAAGGAAGATCAATCACGTCAGGAAGACCAAGTATGTGCCTAGTATACTGCCTGCAGTTTCTGCTCCGTTCGCCGGCGCCTCATATAATCCTTCAGTCGACAATTACATGGTTTGGACTTCTTATTTTTCTATTGTTTTTTAGGAATACGCAAGGAAGATTGCCAATGAAGAGAATTTGGAGATAAAGAACGAAAAATGGGTCAAGAACAAATTAAAGTTGAGGAATGGAGATAGTGTGGCAACTGTGGTAAGGAGAATCTTTTGGACTACACAGCTTTTCATTTTAGAGAGAACAGATCAAGGAAGAAGAGGGCGGCTTTTTGTCGAATTCAGATGATGAATTAACTGACGTTGAAATCAAAGAAGAGCTAGACGATGAAGAAAAGCCAGAAGTTGTAAAAAAACCAAAGAATAAGCCAAAGTCGACAAAACAACGAAAGAAGGAGCTGGAAAGAAGACAAGAGGAGCTGGAGCGTCTTGAAGGGAAGAGAACGAAACAGAATGAAGCGGAATTACTTCGGTTGGTCAAGTTTTCAAAGAATTTTATTGAATATTAAGGTTTCTGACAACATTAATATTATTTTTGCAGAATCAAGTCACTCATTAAAGAGCTGAAGGAAAAATTGAAGCAACATCAAGAGGATCTTGTGGAACGTAGAAGGAAACGCGTCCTAAACCGATTAACAGCGAAAAAACAGCTCGGACATGGGAAGTTTGAGGATTTCAAAGAGCCGGTGTTGCTACCTGAGGAACTAAATGGATCGTTGAGGGGATTGAAATCTACTGGAACTAGTATTTTGTCAGGTAATTTGATTTCTTTTTTTTTCTTGGTTTAGGTTCTACTCCAATGAAGTCTGCTTTGATCCGAAGAGAATAACATGGTGTTATGTTTTAGAAAGACTTCGATCCATGGAGAAGCGAAATCTTTTGGCCTGCAAATCGGACAAGAAGCCAAAAGAATTGAAGCATTCGCTCAAGTTCAAGGTCACAAATAAGCGAGAAACAACCGAATTCCTCGAAGCAGAAATGGCCAAACTTCCGAAGGTCCAGCCGTCAAAGCATAAGAACAAGAAAAGAAGAAGAAATCAAGAGAAGAAGGAGGAATAACGGGTTGGGCAGACCCGTTTTGAGGTAATTTTTTCCTTGTTTGCCGTTGAAACTGTTTATTGTTGTTGTTGAAATGTAATAAAGATTTATTTAAAGATAAACGTATAGGTAAATAACGGGGATGGTTAGAAGAGTTATGAAAAGGATCATGAAAACCCAATCCAAACGGTCGGCGATTCGAACAAACCCATTCCTTTCCGCCGCATGTTCTTTCAGCTCTTGGTCTGGCGTTGTGGAGTTGATCGAGTCCTGTAATCGATAGGGAGAACTATATTTCGAATAAAACCTTCTTTAGATTACAGTGACCTAGACAAAAGTCGACTTGCTTACTCTGACTCCCTTCCAAACGTTGCACAGATTGTTCATGGCCTCTACAATCAAATGCAGCTTATGATTTACATCCGAGTCGACTGCAGAGAGCAGAATTCGATGCGTTTTGGTTGTTAACAAGTCTTGTGTCCAAACTTCGTCGCAATGATGATTTTTATGTCCGGCGTTGAACAATGGGCTTTTCTGGGCCTAGCATGTAAGTCAATTTGCTCTGCTGGAATCAGCGGTTCTTACCTTGAACATAGCCGATTTGAACGGTTTAAGAAAGAGGAGATTCATCGCCCATAGCGGTGGCTCTGCGCCGAATCTGCCCTTCCGGTGGATTCGGAGAATTGCCGAAGTCAAAACGACCGCCACACTGAGGATCACCATATTGTACAGAAAATAAGCAACTATAACAAGGTCCACTGGATAAAAGAATGGCTAATTACCCAACAATGGAATAGCGGTGGATGAGTGTGGGACTTTCTCGGAAACCACCAAGGACAAAACGGCTGTTGATGTGGTGGTGATTGTCGCCATTACACCCAAAGTGAAGCGTTCGATCCGTTCGGAAGTGGTGCTTGCTCTCGCAAACACTCCAATCACAGTGATGACACACATGACGTAGGACGGAATTGTAACGGTTATAAAGTAAAATAACGGTTTTCGTCGAACCGAGATCTCATAAAAGAGTTCGTTGACCTGAAAGTAGCGGTACCTTCTTTTCTTACATAATCAAACGTGAATCGAATCAGGGGAACTGCTGTGTTCAACAGGCTGGGAAGGGCTCAAAGTGTGGCGGTCAGATTTTAATGAAGCTTGGCACACAGCTTGACTACATTCTCTAAGATTTCAAAAAAATTTCGTCCTAATTTCTATTGGACTTAAGAATTTTTGGGCAAATCGGAACACCCCACAAAGACTTTTTCGTACGTTGACTTACCACAATCCCCTCGTGTTCGTATTTTTTCCGTTGAACGGAAACATTCAGAAGCTGCCATTCCTCGTTCGGCGTGTAATGTTGTAAGTTGTGTTCACTGTGCGGCACCAGTCGTATTTTTTCTTCCCCATAGCTCCAACTGGCTATTTCCAGAGCGCATTTCTGGTCGTCTAATGGAAAGTGCTGTAAAAATTGCGTCGGGAAATTGTCATTCGCATACTTTAATATTAATCTCGCAGGAAACTGTGTAAACGCTCGGATGGGAGTATTCGACGGTGCCGTTGCTGTACACAAGAACGGTTGCTTGAATTCCACTCAAGAGATTTTCAAATTCAAGCCTAGAAGCCGAGAGCCTGCATGAATGAGGAGAATTCATGTGAGAATTACGATTCTATCAAGATTTTTCACTTACATGTTAAAGATTATAATGTCCGGTAGCCACAGTGAAGCCATTGGAAGCCAGGTTTTCTTTGTGTTATTGAAAAAGTTGGGGTCCCATTGAAGCGAAGGGTCGGTCCATTTCTTAAAATAAAATTTCACGTGATATTGATTAAAATCATAATTTCCAGACAGATTTCAAAGAACCACAAATGAATTCCCTTATTGCATACCTCATCAACGTAAACCAAGGCGCTTAGAGTTTGTTTGAGCTCATCAATCTTGAGAATGTGGACTAGCTCCAGTTCGTAGTGGACGTCAACAACGCCATCCGGGGCGGCATGTTTGTTGTGTTGGGAAAGCAGATGGTTTGTCAGTTTCGAGGCTGTGGACTCATACTTCTTTACGTTGGCAGGCCTAAAAACAGATATGAAATAACATGCGAGAAGTTGAATTTTGAGGATCTTTGTAGACTCCGAATACAAACTTTTCTGTTTCATCCAAAGTACTCTCATTTCCATCGACTCTTGTAGCTAGAATCCAAAAAAGTGCAAGGGAAAGTCTCCAGAATTGAGCGATCATTTTAATCCGACCATCCGTGGTTCTATTAACAGCCCTTTATGCACCAAGATCTTTAGGTCATTAAACCAGCACAAGGGTTGACCGGGTTGTATTCTGATCGGAGGGTGTTTTATGGCCACCGACTCATTTTATGTGATCCGGCTGAGGCTCTTTTAATTTGACGTATATCAGGTAGTTTCAAAGAAAAGCTTAACGACTTCGGCTCGTCCAAACTACCTGACAAGACCAAATCGTAGGCTTATTACTCACATTTCACGAGATCCGGAAGAAGGCAGCAAAACATGTGCAAAAAGCTGCGGAAATTACTGCGTTCGTTTTGAAGACGCATCCCAAAAAACGGATGGAATGACGCAAATTCGGAAAAAAGAAATTTGGTCTTTCAAAAAAGATGTGCTTGTAAATTTTTTGGCTTGTCAAGAAATGTATTTTTTTTTTCATTCTGCCGCTGTTGAGTTTGAACCTTGTTAATTGACTTGATGTCTTGCTCTAATATCTATCCATAAAATCGCTTCATGTTTCTTAATCTTGTTAGAAATCGCTTATTCCAGTTGAAATGTATGCTCACTGTTAGATTATTCCGAAGCGGAAACTATTCCTCAAACGCAATGAAGAATCCGCCTACTGCCAACTTGCTGAAATTCTTAATACGGCTGATATTGGCTGATTTCGTGCCTGTTTTAAAAGAAAGGGAAAAGTACACTGCATTTTCCATAGTCTACACATCTAATCCTACGCCTACCGCCAAAAAATTTCCCAATTCAACTTTTAAAATTGGTTAGTGTTGGAAAGATATCCAAAATCCTATGCTTAGAAACCAGAGTTCTGACGGGTGTTTGCCGCAAGTCGGCAATCGTTAAGATCTGATTGTGTGATATAGGAATGGTAAACCCACCCCATTCAGTGCGATATTTCAAAGCCGACGGAGGCTATGCGCCTAAAACGCTTTTTGCAAAGTCATAAGTGAAAGGGGCCCCACTCAAGCGCCTTTATCCCCGGAGCTCCGGGGAGCATCTACCTTAGCGTTCGAATAACCTAGGGCCACTTGATACAGCGCATGGTTTGCCTAAAACCGGAAGTTGTTCTACTAATCTTTTACGTGCCATCAGCAACTTTGTGAAACCGAGAGGTACGCCAGCGCGGAGAAGCTAGGTCGTGCGTGGGCCTCGTAATCATTTTGGGGATCTACGTATTCCTTACATAACTCGTATTTTTATGGTTGAAACAGTGCTTTGAATTTTATTCAATTTGCACAAAACAGAGAAAAGGACAGTTGAAAAGATATGGATCGCCGCCACGATGCTTTGAAGGGCTGTTTTCATTAAGGAATTATTGAGCAGCTTTCTCCTCCTCCAACCCTCTATGACGTTCCACACCCTTAATTCTCGATGAAATTCGCTCAATTCTTGCCGGCATGTTTAGTTTTGGCGATTATCGGGCGGCTTATTTTTAAGCTGGTCGTAATCAAGACACCATGTCGAAAAAATGTCGACTTCCAGTGGAACCGGGTAGGCCATTCTCGTGAGGTTATCTTAAATCCAAAATTAAAAATTATTTCTGGTTACGAAGTCGGCAGACTGTTCCTGTAGCGTTTCAAATCCAACTTTAAGTGCCTCTTTTAGGTCCTGTTTCTCAACGACTCTGATGTCTCGAACGTTGACTTTACCAGAGATTCCATTGAATGGCCTGAAGACACTATTCTTCCAATTGATAAATGCAACGTAGAGAGGTTGTATGTTATCGTCGTGCATTCGGCGATAGGAAATGCGGACCGCAGGAACCGATTGAGAGGCATAATTGAAAGTCTCGAAGGAGAAGTAAGCTTATATGCCTCGATTATTGACAAGTTTTTACTGCGTAATGGATACCGCGCTTTTCAGAGGCCACACTTAATCTTTTCGATTGGACGGACTCGTAACACAACACTCCAAAACGAAGTTGAAAACGAATCCAAGATTTTTAAGGACCTGTTACAAACCCATTCGCTTGACGACTATCGCTTATTACCCTCAAAGGCCCACTCGTGGATTCGCTTCCTTTCGCAAAACTGCACGAATAAGATCAAGTTTGTCTTGAAAATCGACGATGATGTCAATGTGAACTTCAACTTGTTCAAGGAGTTTTTGGAGACAAGAGAAACCCGAAAGCAACAAGTCTTATGCTCTCCGTTCAAGCATATTGCGGATCGAAGAAAGAAAAGCACATGGTAGGTGAATCTTGAAAGTAATATCCCCAGAAAAGGAGCGAGTTCATGTTGTTCCTAAATTTCATCGTTACTGGTTTGCAAAGTGCATAAAAGCCTTTTAGGTATTTGTCAGAAAAGGAGTTTCGCCATCGAAATCTGGGATACTTCTGCGCCGGCCTAGCGTACATCATTTCCGCCGATCTATTGCCAAATATGCTGCGCAATTCGGCTTATCGAAGGGTCGTATGGGTAAGGGCTTACACGCATTGTCTTATTGCTTCGTGCAAAAGTTATACCAGTTTTCATTCCAAGTTTTTCCGAGTTGACGTCCCATTTTTCAGCTTGACGACTGGTACGTAACTCACTCTCTATTGGTTGGAGAGACGGTTAAAATATACGATATTTGTAAGCTTTGCGCCATACTAAAATTTTTCCATCATTCAGCCAGCCTTTATTTCGTTTCCGAGACGATTCAAGACGCATACCGCCAACTGTCGCAGATCAAAATGGGCTTGCGACCCATTCCGATGTTTTCTCACCTCCGACCAAGGAAGTTCTTTGACCAGCAGCGGCAAAGTTATCTATGGGAACAAAGCCAACAGTGCCTCTTACAGCTGGATGAAGACGATGAGTTGCTGGAAAGCGAAGCAGAGCAAGCCCGCAAGGCGTCGACTCTGAACAATATTTTCATTGTACAGTGATCGCTGACGGACTTGTGCGCTAATTTTTTATGTGCGATGATTACATTAGGAAGTGGTTGTTTAGTTGTTACAATAAAGATCTCAAAACCTGTAAGAGAAGTTTCATAATACTTCCGAGTGGCGTTTTATTCCTTTATCTCACATTCATGTTTCCTTTAAAAATGGGCTAAACCCCCGTTATCTTGATCCGAGCAAAGAACTTGAATGACCTTCATTCGGGCGCTAATGAGGCCCTGTCCAGCGGATCAATGATTGAAAAAAACGAAATTGTCTTGCCTTCAAATGACAATCGTGGGAAACGAAAGCAAACACTATTGAGAATAAGATGAACGCAAGAAGACGTTCTTCATGCACCGTACCAACTTTGAAATACCTTTGTTTCGAAATGTTTCAAGTGCGACGCCCAGGTTTTTTAGCCTGTGTCACAAATCAATTATTAAGCATTTTATATTGCGCTTTGGAGGGCAAGTCAAGAAATTCAACTTCAGTGTGCGAAATGCGGACAAACGCTCTGACCCCAACCTCTGCCAACTTCGCGTGCAAAAAATCGATTTTAATTAGCTCTTCGTCCTCTCCGGTAGAAATAAGAATGAGAACATCTTGGAATGTTCCGAAAAAATTGTTTTGCAACAGATTATTTATGCCTCTGCTTGAATTTAATGTTGTGTTTCCATAATTTCAGATCGATTTTTGATCCCACAAAGAACTGCAGTGGGCGGATTATCGGATATTGTAATATCACAAGCAAATTTTGAACACGTGATTTCAAATCGAATCAACACGCCCTGAATTAGTTTTGCTGCAGTGGTGACAAATTAGAAGCCCGTACGACCCTGGGAAGAAGTCAAAAATTAGCTATGGAGTGAGTTAAGGTTTCAAAAAGTCCGAAATGTTTCAATCTACGTTTTTGTTGAATTTTTGCCTGTACATGATGTAAAAATTCGGGGTGTTAATGAAAAGTGCAAGTTAAGACTACACGTCCTCGAAAATCTCCATTCCAAATTTTGCGCATTGTACAGAATTTTGCCACAAATAGAATTTCAAAAAGATCGTTGGTCGTTTTTCTTTTGGCTAGCGGGGGCAAGGCCTTGCTCTCTGTTAGAAACAAGTGTTTAAAATTTTTTCTTGATTTTTTGACACCAATTTCGTCCACTAAAAATTCTTGACAACGAATTTTGGCGTCTAAAATCCTTTCAGTAACCGATAGTGTATGGACGAACTTCTAAGCGGTTCAGGAGAAGCGCTGGATTCAGTTTACAAGGCTTTAACTTGTTACCAGTCCTTTCGCAAAGTCGTTGGAGCAACTTTTGCGACATACTATGAGAAAACAAAAACGTTCATTTGCACTGTGCAATTTCTTGCTTTTTGCACCGTTGGCTTTTTGGGCTGTCGCCCGTACCATGACTTCTTCTGCACAGTGCAAACGCCAAAATCACTCCAGCGGCTTTATGAACGGACCCTTTTTCCAGTCGAAAACGGTGCACTTGACGCAGGAGGGAATCTCAGGCCAGCTCTAACCTTCACCCGATTTTTTCTGAGCTCACCTTCCCGAGTTGTTCCTTTGTAGCTTTTTTCTCGCTTTGGCCTCTGCTTCGAAGAATTCTTTATGTTTTTGAAATTTTTATCTGCCGTTTCGACGACAACTTTTCCAGTTTCCGAGATATAACAATGGATAAGTTGATCGGCTGATCGTTTTGTCCTGTTAATCTCCACAGGATACAGTAAAATATTTTCAGGGTTACAGGCGTTGGAATGCGACGACTCTGGTGGATCTTGTTGGCTTTGTGCGTATGCTTTTGTCATGGCGAAGATGGAAACCCGGTGGACGTGGAGCCGCAGGTGCCGTTTGAGCATTGGCATTGTGGGACGGACTACTTCGACAAGATGCTTTCCCATCAGTCTGTGCACGAGGATTGCCCGAACGCAATGAGTAGGGGATTTTTATATTATTCTTAGGTAGTTTGTTCAATTTATTTCTTTCCTGCAAGAAAATCGTAAGATTTTGGCGGAATTTTTGATGAATCTCGCAATTGAATATTTATTCTCGCAGCATCGTTCTTTTACATTTTTTCAGTCGATACCAACGAATGCTGCCGCGTCCACGACAATTGCTACGTGGAGCACCACTCTCAAGAGGACTGTGACCAAGTCTTCTGTGACTGTCTTGCACATCACATGAATTCCACGTGCCCTCATCTGTCGCAATCTTTCTGTGCTATTGTCGAAATGTTCGGCAAGGAAGCGCATCGAAATGCATACAAGGGATTCAAGGTTCAGACCTCAGGAGATGAAACCGTCACAACCACTTTGAATTCCATCAATTCCAAAGAACTTCTTGGCACAGGAGGAATTGATCTTGTTGTGGAGAACGAGAAACTCGATGATAATGGAGTCTCGCGCGGTAAAATTGGGCTTTTCGACAACCCTAGCATGGATACTACAATTTTGGTCGATTTTGTCAAGTTCTTGGAGAAAGATACCTTGTGTTTTGAAAAGGACGACGAATGCAAGTCCCCTGACTCGGGTTTATTTTTGTCGTATTTTAGTTCTGGCAAATTGTCGATATCAAGCCAAACAATTTCTTGATTTTGACCCATTGGTTGGTCGGAAATCCACTTGTGAGTGTGCAGCAAATCGTCTCCGCATCGACGTAGGGCGATATCTGCGACGTTGCCATGTTCAGTTCCTTGATTTTTGCCCACCCGACTTGTTTTCTCCAGGTTAGACTTTACGATCGACTATTTTTTTGATTTTGAGATATAAGAGGAACATTTTAGACGATTATGATTTGGATCCGAGCATGGCCCTGCTCCAAGGTGAAGAATCCATCTGGTCCAAGACTGTCTCATTCCAGTTCTCTATCGCTGAACTTCTTTTGGCCTTCACGTTCGTCGCCCTGTTATTGCTTGTCGGTATTGTTCTCCAGATTATCAAGAAGAAGAAAGAATTATCAACGTTGAATCATGGTAAGTTATTTCGTTTTGGGATGTTTAATTGTAAGAAAAAAGTTTGAGAATTTCGGCTTTTTGAAGCAGATCTGAAAGAACGACAGAGTGTTTCGTCAGCGCCTTATTGGCTCAGGGGCAGAGCGTCTGTCTAGTAAACAGAAGGTCGCTGGTTCGATTCCAGCATGAGGCATCCTTTCTTGGCATTTTTAAAAATGTGCAATTTTTATTTTTATTGAAAATTTGATTTTAACAACATATCTCTTCCAGGTCCTTTCTCCACCTTCAATCACGGATCCATTTTTTATCCGAAACACCAGAGAGTCCCCGACAGTCAGGCGCATCTTGTGGATTCCGATGACGAGGATAGAAGCACTCGATCTTCGAGCTCGGCTTCGGGTGTCTCGAGCAATGACCTTCCAATGCTTCCAATCAAAACTGGCTGATGGCCTCTTTTCCGATGAGCTGGTCAAGTCTGAGCCCTGATAAACTATAATTTTACCCTTTCTGTACCTTTTTTATCATCTTGATTTGCATTTTTTTACACTTCGTTCTTATTTAGTATTTTCTTAGCAAATAGTTTTAGCAATGCAAGAGTAGATTGTTACATATTAGCACTACATACTGTATCTCAAAAACCCCACTTAAAATTGTTGTTCCGTCGGGTAACGTATACCTTGTAAGCCTGTAATCTTGCTTATTTCGTCCATTTTAAGGTATTTTGGTTTGTAGTAAACTCTGTGGTATCTTTTGGTTATGCGTCATGATACTGTGTTATTTGTGAGCTCAATTGTACGCTGTTGGATTAACAACTATATTCGTTATGGCGTGCTACTGGACGTTCTTAATTTTTAAAATTACCCGTTTACACCCACTTTTTACAGTTTGTTGCCATTGTTGTCAGACAATTACACTTTGAATTGAATGTTTCGTGGAATACGAAGTCTTGAACCAGCTACTTTACAATTGTTACAATCATTTCAGCCGCCGGTCGTCATATGAGTGTCTATAAAATTAATTTTTTTGCCGTTTTCCTTCAGCCATTGTAACTTGGTTCAAGTGCGGGTTTTTCCGTTCCACTTAGGGCGTATGCCCATCAATTTGCGATGCGCATAGCATTGTCAAAAAGATGAAAAAAAACTTTAGACAAAAGACAATGGCCGGTGAATTACTGAAGAGAGGAATGACGTCACAAAAGACCCGATGACAACGCTGATTGACGCCCGCATTTTGTTAACAAAATATCTGCAGATGAGTATGAAACCAGATGCACAACAAACGACTTGGAGCCTTGGCGAACTCTTTATGAAGGAGAGGAACACAGTAGTTGAAGTTATGAAATGTATGAACTGAAGTGGTTTGCTAATAAATAATTACGACATTACAAAAAATTGCCGAGATTCTTTGAATCAATTAATTTAAGTTTGTTTCATCATAACAATTTTTTTTGAAAGTAAAACAAGATCACGATAATTTTTGATTTTAAAACGTCAAAATAAATAAATATTTAAAATCTGTCCCAAGCTTTTATAGACCCTCCCTCGAATGATCGCTCCATTGATGAAGTGCTGGACCCAAGGTGTTCCTGGGCCAGCTATCCTTTAATCGGCCCGTTGGGGGACGCAATTCCGGGCCGAAGGTGTAAGTTGGGCTCGCCGTCGAGGATGGGTGTCCTTTTGAATTTTCTCGGCCCGGCTAGCCCCTATTGCTTTGTTTATTCTTATCAGACATATTGAGATAGCCGACATTTTATTGTACTTTATATTTCTTTACAAGATTGAACTAAATTTTGCCTCTACAAGATTAAGCTAAGATGATGTAACGAAGAGAGGTTTCCAAATAAGGATTATTGCGAGTGCAAGAGTTTCCCAATTCTGGTCCTCATTTGAAACATGGATTTACGGGACCTTGAAGACTGAGATTAAAGTTCATAGATCATGGTGGAAATTCTTCAACAGCCCTATTTTTTGATCCTCATTGAAGTGAACGTTTGTTTCACAGTGTTTTTCCGTCTACACCGAAAGATTTCTCCGCGTTTTTATCGAACAAACTAAAGGTTTTTGGCCGCAGTAAAATCTTATGGTTTTTTGCAAAACAAAATTTTTGTTCGCTTTTTCATACGCCATGTGGTTGTAAGAGGTATAGTATTATATGTATAATCCAGTAACTCTTGCGCCTTTCTCTTCCAAAGATTAATGTGTTGTCAACTCGTTATGTTAGATTAAAAGGAGAAGCCCATGTGACCTTCCTAGATGTTTGCTTTAGGCATCCGTATTGTTGGAAAAAGAAACATTAACGTAAATTAAAACACTGTATGCGCTGATGGATTATCGACATGATTTTCGCATTTGTGTTTGCACTCCCTTTCATGAACATATGGTGCTTATGGTGTATGGTTAAGAAACAGGACGTCTGCTTATAAATCGTTTTTATTTTTGGTATTTGTCATCGACTGGGAATACAAAGATCTTTTTTTGACTTGTGGGTGCTTAGAAATAAAGGCTTTTAATGGAACGTTAAGCCTAGCTATATACAGGGTGGGCCAAAAAATGGACAAAATTAAAAGTTGGCGTATCCCGGCACGAATACCGTTATCAATGGAAAGAAAAATAGTTTTGTAATTGTCAACTATCCTGCTTTATCACAACTATAATATTTAAATTTTTTATATACTTTTTTTTGAAGCGCTGATACGAGCCAAAATTCTAGGTCAGCCCATATTCTGACTACGTTTTCCAAAAATTTTGTGGGTCCAATGATCTTTACCGACCTAAATTTCTACAACTAGCCGAAAACTGGGGGTCGACTGTTTATGGACATACCAAGGGGAACCCAAAGAAGCAAAAAAGCTGATTAATAGCACTCCCCCAGTTTGCAACGTGATCCACAAGAGGTCCATCTAGATAATTCTCAATTTTTGAGATCATTGACATTCAAGACTCGCAGGGGACCCTGTCCCATGCTATTAATAGCAAAAAATGGTCTCTTAAGACACCTGACATTGCTTTACATGAGCCAGCAGTTGATTTGATAATAGCTTCCACTAGCCGTGCGCAACACATAAAAAAGTTTAGCCGGCTATACGCAGAGACGCTGATATTTTTGGCCAGAATTTTTATTCTTTTTTGTTGGCGTTCTTCAACGGTCCGCATAACTATGACGGGATACTTATATATCAAGGTTATACGACCCTTTTCTTCCATTTTAAGTCAGTTTCGTAAAATAAGGAAGCAGCTAACCTTCAGAATCCAAGTTTTATTGCGATGACCCATCAAAAAGTCAAAAAAATCGATTTTTTGCTTGCTATCTTGCTCATTGAGTTGTACTATTGTCAAAAATGCGTTTAGTATATTCATCATAGAGTAGTAAACACCGTATGAGGGAATTAGTTTCAAAAGGTTCACCACGTTTGGTAGAGCATCGTTTTTCCGAAAGCGCTCAAATGAAGCTCGATTTTCCCTGGCCGAGTGTCTAACGTCTGGTCACTGGTTCTTCGTTTTCCGAAAGGCTTGGGTTAAATCCTTTTAAACCCTAAAGGGACAAGTCTCCTAGATTTACATAGACCGCTTGGTATATCTTTATGGCGGCTCTAAAAGGTTTAGGACCAAGAACTTTTAAAATTTTGCTGGGGGAATTGGCGCGCTGACCTGGTGACTTTCCTGCAACCGTATGTTGGAAACTTTTGCAGATAGAAGAAAATTCTACAGTAACTATGTTCCCTTAACACAGTACTTTCATGCCATATATACCTTTTTTCACAAACTGTTTCGTGGCAGGAAAAATCGAAGAAAAATAAATGTCCATTTTTTGGCCCACCCTGTAAGTAATTTGACAAGGAAAGTACTTCTATGGGGTGTGGAGTTACAGGTCGAGATATATATCAAAAAATTCGCAAAAATTTTCTGATTCAGAATATATAAAAATTAGCTGCCTAATTTTGGTCTGATGACATGTTTTTGTCCTCAGAAGTTTTCTCGCGACACCATGCAAGTGTCTTTTTGACCGTGTTTTTAGCAATAAAAAAATTTTGTTTTGTGCTAAAATAAATTCTGAGGCCTTGACAAGCCTTACAGAATTATCGAGCTCGAAAAATTATCTTCCTCTTCGAAAAAACATTTTTCTCGAAATTCTCTGGGAAAGTTTTCTTTTGTGACTCGATAATTCAGCGACATTTCGTCAAAAATCAATGATCCGAGGTTCCTTGTTTTTTCACTTTTTCTTTGACGTGCCACACCGCTCTCTTCCGAAGGAAGAGACCGAGCGCGCTTTTGTCGCCGCAGATTTTTTTCCTCGAGGAAAACATTTATTGATAAAACTCGCTGATAGACCAAAATTAGGCAGCTAATTTTTATATATTCTGAATCAGAAAATTTTTGCGAATTTTTTGATATATATCTCGACCTGTAACCCCACACCCCATAGAAGTACTTTCCTTGTGAGATATTTACACAGTAAATTGCATTAAGGCTATTCTCCACGGTTGGACATTACATGAATTACACTTGTTTGTAATAAGCATTAATCAATTCTGTCATTTGTAAAGTTGACAAGGAGTGTGCGGTTGCTTCAAAGGTATACAGGATGTTTAGCTCTTCTGAGCGCTGAAAAAAATCTGTATTTTTAGGCGAGTGCTTTTAAAGTAGTCGGGTATTCAACGAAAAAAGAAAACTTGATTTTAGCGAGACCCACCAGGTTTGAATATAATTACAACAGTCGCTTTGCCGATGCATTCCTATCTAACTATGATATGCCAAAACTAAAGACACCGCCTAACACTTAGCAACCGTCCTTAGCAAATTGCTTTACTGCGTGACATGACAGAACTCTATAATTTGTTTTTCAAAAACTCGCTGGTGAACTTTCGCAGCAATTCGTAATATTCAAAAAACAGCTCAAAGCAGTTTCCTAGTCCTCCTTTTCTAGGGTGGAAAATGGAGCCTCTATATCGTTCTACTACTTTATAAGGCAATGGGGTAACTATTGTTAATTGTCAGCTCCTGCTAAATCTCGCTCGTTAGAGCGTGTCTCAGGTTCGTCCGCTTCCCCGGTCTGAGACCTGAGCACCCTGAATCTGTAAGATTCAAAATGCGCCTTTAGGGATTTTACTGAGCGCCGGGGGAATCCTTGTGCACTCCTTAAGTTGTGCACTATTTAAGTATAAGTTTTCTCACGTCGTATCTACGAACCGCGCCCACCTTGTCCCCTGTACTCGTCCTGGGGGAAAGTTGGTGCAAAACTATTTGAAGGCTTCTGTGAGGGCTCTATGCTCCCTTACAGACCACCCTATTTTATCAGTTAGGGTCTCATTAAGAGCCCCCGATGCTGCCGGATCGTTTCTGGGGGTTTCCCGCCCATGTCTTAGTCGACACCTTCCCCGCTGTGGCCGACTCTACCACAACGGGGTTGTTCGACAGTAAATTTTTGCGTACTCATTGTGGTGCCGGCATTACCTTCTACCAGGGGGTTTGTTCCTTACTATACTCCGCGTACAATGTTTTGACCCTCCTCCTAACTTGGCCCAAAGAGTGAGACCAATTCGTTCCAAATTTGGTATGTAGTCTACTCACAGGCTAGTAACAAAAAGTAACAAAGCAGGACATACCTTGTAGTTGAATTCCAAAATCCAGGGGCAATTTTCAAAAATCACCTTAAAAAATCGAGGAAAAAGTTTTGACCCCCCTTAAAAAAGTTAGATGTCTCCAGCGGATGCCGCCCGAACCTATCGTAATCGACGTCCCATACCTGAATACAGGTTAATAAATGGTGTTCCGTTGAATGCTTTGTTGCATTTGAGGATTCAACGCGTTAAACCGTTTTTGATTTAGAACTGCCCAAAATGGTAAAAATCTTGCCCTAGCGCTTTCCAAGAGCTCTAAATTGGATTTATATTATGTGATATACACCTGTACTTACCTTCTCCTTTCGATAAAAGTGCATGGTGGCCTGGCGGTGTAGATTCGGCAGATACCATCTTGTCATGTCCAGCCTTGGTGAGCCATTTGCTCTTTGACTCAAGGTCGAGATGTGTTCGTTAGGCCCTCAATGTAATTCTGATACTCCTATTTATTCTCAGTAATGTAAAATGTTTCGATTTGACACGTTTTGTAATGGGTTTCATTCACCTTAATATTGAGTCTGCCGTTGCTGTACAGGGTGTACCAAAAAAATGGAAACTTGTTTTTATAGCTATATTCTTTCGGAGATTCAAAATTCAGCAAAAGTAACGGTCATGGTTGGTAACATAGAGCATTGTTTATAACATGTTCAACCTGTTTCACAGTGGCTGCCTTTGGTGGCGCTATAGAGTTCCAAACGTGACGTAAAATTTTGGGGTCCGGGCCGCAGCTTTTTAAGGGGGAAATCGGTCCCGTTCTTGGCGCATCATTTACTTTGCGACTCCAAACTTTTGTGGAGCATAGTACAGGTGCTGGCCTTCTATTTAAAAAAAATATACAGTCTATTGGATTCAGATCTGGCGAGCAGGCGGCGATTTCGCAGGCGGGATCAAATCGGGAAAATCGGTCCCATTTCGGGTCCTGAGTCGATTTTGCCTTGTGAGCCGGCGCTGAGTCCTGTTGAAACGCCAAGTTTGCATTGATAAGGTTCTGCTGAGCTCACGGAAGCACGGCAAAATAGAAATTAACGCGGCGCTAGTATTTTGTCCCATTTATTCACAAAGACATGGAATTCTTGCCGCTGGCACAAATTCCGCCTTAAGCAATGACGACCCGGATTTTGGTGGTATTCGACGATGGCCAACAGACCAGGAGCCTCATTGAAGCAGATTCTATCGTTCTGGTGGTTGTGTATCCGCTAAATATTGAACCGCGAACTGAATGCGCTCACGTCTCGGAGCTGCGGCCCACCCCTTTGACTTTCCGACATTTTTGCGCTGTACGCACTTTTTATCGACTTTAAAGATCTGAATTTTTTAGAGCTTGTATGACATGAGGTTGAGCTCGCCTTTGACTATTCGGCCGAGCGATCGGTCGCTGATGTCAGTCTCAAGGGCAAGTTTTTCTTGAAAATCGCGGATTTTACTGTGGGGGATCTTTCGGTTTGAAAGAAGCGCTGGCGGTGCGTTTTCTTTCACTTCCTGGGCGCTTACTATCCGTATCAAGCTCCTTGGGCCTCGTGATTACTTTCGACACAACGTTCTTTCTATACCGAGCAAATTAACTGTTCGAACAGCTCCAAAAACAGGTCCAAAATCGAGGTCCCTTTGTTTGGAGTTCAAAAAAGACAGGTCGATTAATCGACATGGGCGTAAAAATCAAACCACTAGGACAGAAAAACACAGAGAATTTTGTAGTAATAAACTTCTTTGGCTACACCTAACCAATTGACAAATGAAAAAAAAGTTTCCATTTTTTTGGTACACCCTGTAGATGCCTCCGAGTACGATGACATCCCCACCGCCCATTTGGCGTTCCATACGTCTCCACTGAGTATGACGGGTGCTGTAGCGTCTTATATTACCTGGTTCATCAAATGAAAGCCGTTTTTGGCGGCTAAAAATCCATTTGGAAAACGCGGGTCTTTCATTAAGGTGCAGATCGGCGAAGTTGCGCCTGCAGACCACATGAGACCGTGTCAGCGGGAGTTTATTCTTTGTTTGAGACTAAATAGGGGTCTCAGGATTACATTGAGGGCCTAACGAACACATCTCGACCTTGAGTCAAAGAGCAAATGGCTCACCAAGGCTGGGCATGACAAGAGGGTATCTGCCGAATCTACACCACCAGGCCACCATGCACTTTTATCGAAAGGAGAAGGTAAGTACAGGTCTATATCACATAATATAAATCCAATTTAGAGCCCTTGGAAAGCGCTAGGGCAAGATTTTTACCATTTTGGGGGGATCTAACTTTTTTTAAGGGGTGTCAAAACTTTTTCCTCGATTTTTTAAGGTGATTTTTGAAAATTGCCCCTGGATTTTGAAATTCAAATATAAGGTATGTCCTGCTATGTTATTTTTTGTTACTAGCCTGTGAGTAGACTACATACCAAATTTGATCCCAATTGGTCCACTTTGGGCCAAGTTAGGAGGAGGGTCAAAACATTGTACAGGCATCCTTACTATACTACAAAACATTGTAGTATAGTAAGGATGCCTTCCGGTGGGGCGTTGCTTGGCATGGCGCCTTATGATCTCGTCATTGATCAGCGACATGTACCTTCTTATACTTTTGGCTTCTGCTTCCCGCTGCTCAAACCAGACGTTGTCCTTCCACTTAGCAAGCAACGTTTGCTCGTGGAAGAATTCGTCTATCGCGAAGCCAATAGTATAGCAGCCGGGTTGTTCTGGCGAGGTTTGTTTTGCCAGCCCGGCTTGCAATTTTGAGCACCTTGCTCTCCCCACTTCATTATATGCGTGGGGCACGTAGCCTTGACCACAATCTTGGGCCATTTGCCAAGTTTGCAAGACTTGTATTTGTCGTAGTTCGCCTGGAACTACGATAAATCCAGTCGAACTAAATCTCGCTCGTTAGACTGATGCGCATTATCGTCTATCGAGCGGGTCTCCGGTTCGTCCACTTCCCCGGTCTGAGACCTGAGCACCCTGAATCTGTAACAAGGGATCGGCAAACAGTTGCACCCTGCTTTCTTAACGAAACATATACCATTTGAAAGAGCGTTAAAAATAGTGTACAACGCAAAAAAAATTAGCTGCCCAATATATGTTTGGGCAAAGTTACGGCCGTTTTATGAAAGGGGTCATATGCGGCCAAAGCGCCGGTTTCTTATGTTACAGTAATCCTAGCGGCCTGAAATCGTTTCCATTGATTTCTTAGCATCCCAAAACGCTATCACGGACGTTTTATGGATTTACCATTCATCGGTTATGAGTTATTAGACATTACTGCTAGTTACAAAAAATTGTAAATAAAACAAGGTTAATGGGAAAATTGGAGCAAAAAGAATTGTAAATACATTTATATGATCATCGTGGTCATTTACAAACAAAAATCTCAAAATCAAAAATTTTGTATGTCCTAGCCTTACCAACGATTGGTCCACTGTGTCAGCAATAGTGTTTTTAGCCGATTTTATTATACAATTTTCTCTTGGTATTTTTTCGAAAAAATTTATTTATATGTCCTTGTAAATTGAATTATCGTCCAGTAATTATAATCGGTCAGGCTTCTGGCATGACACCCTGGTAATTATACGACAGTGGCAACCCCACTCTCATCACCATAAAATTTGTGGTCGTTTCGAAAAAAGCCAAAAACTCCGAAAAATTCCGTAAATATGGATTTTGTCTGTGAAGGAACAAAAATTGTTTAAAACTGTCAACATACCACGGTTTTGTGGTATTACACTCGGCCAACTGGACACAACTCCGTTGCAATTCGAAGAGCTTATAAAGTGAGGCGGAAATTAGGCTAAAATCTGTAGTTTGGCCATAACTTTGCGCAAACATATATTGGGCAGCTAATTTTTTTTGCGCTGTGTACTATTTTTAACGCTTTTTCAAATGATATAGGTTTTGTTAAGAAAGCAGGGTGCAACTATTTGCCGATCCCTTGTAAGATTAAAAGTGCTCTTTTAGGGACTTGACCGTACGCCGGGGGAACCCTTGCACACTCCTTAAGTTTTCCCACGTCGTCTCTACGAACCGCACCCACCTTGCCCCCTGTACTCGTCCTGGGGGCAAGTTGGCGCAGAATTCTTTAAAGGCTTCTGTAAGGGCTCTATGTTCCCTTACAGACCACCCTATTTTGGCCAGGGTCTCGTTAAGAGCCCCCGATGCGGCCGGAGCATTTCTGGGGTATTCTCCCACTTGCTCCGGTTTCCCGCCCATGTCCGAGTCAACACCTACCTCGCTGTGGCCGACTCTACCACAACGAGGTTGTTCGATAGCATTATTTAACGACTTCATAGTGCTGCCGGCATTACCCCCTACCTATGGCTCCTACCAAACGTAGGACTCGGCTTGCTAACCATGGTAGGCGGGCTTGGCCTTTGGAGATTGAAAAATGGTATTCATCGATCGGAGATATCACCGAGGAGTGTATTACTATCGGACCTCTACCTACCTCTCAATTTCCGTCGGGCACAACCCTCTGCAGTAGGAATCGCTCGCTTTCCTTCTCTCTCAGAACAGCGTTTGGTGCAATTCCTGCGTATTTCGGACTTTTTCATAACAAGAAAAATTTTCAGCAAATTTTTCCTCCAAAAATTCCGACTCCTCTTTCCCACCCATGCCCAATTATATTTTGGCAGCGGCGGGGCGAGAGGGGGTCGTTCCCTGCTCTTATGATTGAGCTCAGGCACGAAAATTCGGTTTTCCTTATAGACTCGCCTTGTTTCTTTTCGTCTGGGGTAAACAGAGGACTATGCTCACCTTTCGGCCTCTCATTTTCCCCACTCTCTCGCCTGTTACCGACCTTTTGTTGAGAGAGCCTGCGAAAAGAGAGACGGAAGGGCGCAAGAAATGCGCTGTTACCCCAGCTTAAAAACAAATGCGAAATCTATAAAAGGCGGGGACGTTGCTCAATCGTCACTCGACTCTCGAGCAACGCAAACGAGTACCCCAAGCGATCCAGAAGGTCCAGTCCGAAGATCCCGAAGGTCCCCGAGTTCCCGGCTCCCAGAAGATCGATGGCGCGACACCCGGACCAGCACCGCCCCAACCCCGCTCCAGTCGAGGGGGTCGCCGGGCCCGTTCAGGATGGCCAGCCTCCTGTTCGGGCCGCCCAGCCCCAGCGGGAGGTCCAACCTCTCGCTCAGGCTGCCCGTGTCGGGGGTAGGGCCCGCAACCCTGCCTGCGGTTCAGCCTGCCGCCGCGCGCCTGTCCGCTTCAACGATGATGGAGCGCCCGTCCCAATGGAGGAGTAGGGCCCCAACACCCCTCCGGTTTCTCTTCTCGGGGCTTCGCCCCCAATTGTAATACTATTTTTGGTTTTGCTTTTGAAAAATAAAGCATTTTTATTCAATTGGAGACTTATCATGGCTGAGGTCTCGGATTAGTCCTGAGCCCCAGCCTTGCTATTATCCCTCGCCTTCCTTTGGGCTTGGAGTTTTGTGTTCCAAGTAAAACATGGCTCTCGGGCCGGCCCGGGCCGAAAATCGCGGCCCGGCCCGGGCCGCGGCCCGAAGTTTAAGAAACATTGAAAAACCTTCCTTCGCTATTAGCGGCTGGCATCACACATGACATATTTTTCTTCATTATAACAGCTAACAATAAATTTTTAAAGCAAAAAATTACCAATGAACGCATTGCCTTTTTAAAATTAATCAAAAAATTTCCGAGATCCGTTTTCAGGCTATTGAAAATTGCCTTAAGATCAATGTTATAGATTCAGTAAAGGTGACCACGTTCATCAAATTTTTAGTTAGATTTTCAACTTCCAGATAACAGTGTTACTTCACACAGCTACTTAGTTGTGTTTAGAAAGATGTCGATTACGTTTTTTTGAGTGGTTGCTCAAAAAATTGCTACAAACACTAATGTACATTACAACTTAATATTACGCCTTTTCAAAAGTGCAGACACATTTTCCGGCCTTTTTTGCACCGCACCGTGCATGTTGCGCGACGCGATCCTTTTCGAAACATTTTGCACTGTGCAATTTCCCTGAAATTCGAGGCGACTCAGCTGAGAAAAGCTTGCGACGCAGCGACATTCGGTTGCACAGTGCAAAAGGTCAAAATGCACCCCGCAAAAGGGAGTTTTGTGCACGGTGCGGCCCACGACAAAATGTGTCTGCACTTTTGAAAACGCGTAATAGATTTTGGGTCAATGTTTTTTACATAGAAATAAAAATGCTTTTTCTTAGAAAACTTATACTCCGCGTACAATGTTTTGACCCCCCTCCTAACTCGGCCCAAAGTGTACCAATTCGGACCAAATTTGGTGTGTAGTCTATTCACAGGCTGGTAACAAAAAATAACATAGCAAGACATACTTTATTGTTGAATTTCAAAATCCAGGAGAAATTTTCAAAAATCACCTTAAAAAATCGAGGAAAAAGTTTTGACCCCCCCTAAAAAAAAGTTAGATATCGCCAGCGGATGCTACCCAAACCTATCGTAATCGACGTCCCATACCTGAATACAGGTTAATAAATGGTTTCCCGTTGAATGCTTCGTTGCATTTGAAGATTCAACGCGTTAAACCGTTTTTGATGTAGAACTGCCCAAAATGGTAAAAATCTTGTACTAGCGCCTTCCAAAAGTTCTAAATTATGTTTATATCATGTGATTTTGACGTGTAATCACCTGCATTAACCTTCTTCTTTCGAAAAAAGGTCCATGATGGCCCAGCGATGTCGATTCTGCCGATATCCGGTTGTCATGCCCAGCCTTGGTGAGCCATTTTCTCTTTGACTCAAGGTCTTGAAGTGGTCGTTAGGCCTTCAATATAATTCTGAGACTCCTATTTACTCTCAGTAATGTAAAATTTTTCGATTTGACACGTTTTGTAATGGTTTTTATTCACCTTAATCTTGAGTTTGCCGTTACTGTAGATGCCCCCGAGTACGATGACATCCCCACCGCCCATTTGGCGTTCCGTACGCCTCAAATGAGTATGGAGGGTGCTGTAGCGTCTTAGATTACCTGGTCCATCAAATGAAATCCGTTTTTGGTGGCTAAAAATCCATTTGAAAAACGCGGGTTTTTCGTTAAGGTGCAGATCGGCGAAGTTGCGCCTGCAAACCATATGAGATCGTGTCAGCCGGAGTTTATTCTTTTTCTGAGAGTAAGTATGGGTCTCAGAATTACATTGAGAACCTAACGACCATATCTAGCCCTTCGGTCAAAGAGCTAATGGGTCACCAAAGCTCGGTATGACAAGAGGGTATCTGCCGAATCTACACCCCCAGGCCACCATGCACTTTTGTCGAAAAAGGAAGGTAAATACAGGTGTAAATCACATAATATAAACCAAATTTAGAGGTCTTGGAAAGCGCTAGGACAAGATTTTTACCATTTTGGGCAGCTCTGCATCAAAAACGGTTTAACGCGTTGAATCTTCAAATGCAACGAAGCATTCAACGGAAAACCATTTATTAACCTGTATTCAGGTATGGGACGTCGATTACGATAGGTTTGGGTAGCATCCGCTGGCGATATCTAACTTTTTTTAGGGGGGGTCAAAACTTTTTCCTCGATTTTTTAAGGTGATTTTTGAAAATTTCTCCTGGATTTTGAAATTCAACAATAAGGTATGTCCTGCTATGTTATTTTTTGTTACCAGCCTGTGAGTATACTACACACCAAATTTGGTCCGAATTGGTACACTTTGGGCCGAGTTAGGAGGGGGGTCAAAACATTGTACGCGGAGTATATTTTTAGAAAAAATGATTTTTTTCATAGAAAAAAGCATTTTTATTTTAGAAAAGAATGGTTTTTCCTTAGAAAGTGCAATTTTTAGTACATTTGTGTATAATAATAACAAAAATTGATTTTAAACAGTAACAAGTAGTGAATTTTGTTAAGTAGTAGGGTAAAACAGTAAGAGTAGTAACTTTTTGAGTGAAGATAGACTGGTGTATTCGATGGTGCTGATTTCGAAAAAATAGTTCGTTTTTTGTGATTTTGACTTTTTTCTTAAGTAGTACTGTAAGTAAGTAGCAATTTTGAATTTTTAATTAATTGTTGAATTGTTTAATTGAATATTCTTTCTGGTTCGTCGGAATTTGTCTGAAGATATATAAGGGTTAACCCAAGTATGAGCAAGAAATAGATTTCAATCGACGTTGAGGCATAAACAATACAAATTGTTACTAACTTACAGTACTACTTAAGAAAAAGTCAAAATCACAAAAAACAAACTATGTTTTCGAAATCAGCACCATTGAATACCCCGGTCCCCAATATTCCCCCAAAAAGTTACTACTCTTACTATTTTACCCTACTACATAACAAAATCCACTACTTGTTACTGTTTAGAATCAATTTTTGTTATTATTATACAGGATGGTTCAGCCGAAGCTTCCATCCTTATTTCAAGTATTTCTCCGCCGATAATGCACCAATTTTTATAAAATTTATACCAAATTGAAGCTGAGGTTCCCCATTTTTTGTCCACCAAATATGACGTGCCCACAATCAAGGAGGCCCCCGTACTGACCTTTGGCATTTTCATTCCAAATTTTGTAGCCCGAAATCGGTGAAACTTAGAAAATTTTTGGAATGATTTTCAATTGAGTTTCTCGGACCGGGAAAATATTCGAGTCTTTGGCTAAATAAGACATTTAGAAGTAGCTGAAAAAATTGAGGGCAGTCAACGGAATCCTCCTAATCAATCTTCAAGGCATTGCTCTTGTGTTCTGGGTTAACAGGCTTCGTTAATCGAAGTTTTTAAAAATGCGAACAAATGGGCGAAACTGTCTAGGTGGACGACGACATCCACCCTGAAGATAAATAACAAGTTGTAAGGCCTGGATTGCCCGCGAAAAGAGCTTTCGTTTTCATTTGTTCGATTTGGTACCTCGCCGGAATGAAATATGCTTGTTTGACACTTGGTACTTCTGTACACCTTACCTTTTTTAAAAATTTCATCAAATTTGGCGACTTTGTCTTTGCCGGAAATCCAAAAATTTTCTAAGTCCGAGAAACTCAATTGAAAATCATTCCAAAAATTTTCTAAGTTTCACCGATTTCGGGCTCCAAAATTTGGAATGAAAATGCCAAAGTTGGGTAAAAATTGTACGGACTTTCCGTCCAACCTAATAATTATATGTATATAAAAACAATGCACCATTCTACTTGTAGGCCATTTAATTTCTTTATTCTCACAATAGATTATTAAGTGATTAAATTTATCTGAGATCCGGACTTTACGACCAATAAGGGCATTATTGCAATGTGACTTTCTTAGGAAGAACTGAATATAGTATGTTTCTGTCGCATTACGTCAAATTTCGATCTACTGACCTTTCGTCGGTTTAAGAACGTCTAAGAACGCTTCGAATGGTTATTGCTGTCGCGATCTTTCTAGAGCCACAGCAGAATTAAGCAATAAATAAAATAAAATTTCCTGTCAAAAAACTCAGGAACTGTGCCAAAGAATCTGGTTCGTCCACACACTATCGATCGCCTAAAATATTTCAGACATCAGAGTTCATTTTGAAGAATTTTTAATGGACGAAATTGATTTCAAAAAAAAAATAGAAAAATTTATAACACTAGTTTCTAACAGAACGCGAGGTTTTGTCCCGACAAACCAAAAGTAAAACAGCAAAGCTCCGAAATCCTATTGTGATAAAGCGCCACATTGATTAAATCCTGGTAATGCAGCTTGAGCTACGCTGAATTCTGCTCCTCTAGAAGCGAAATCTCAGAACAATGGATCACGATAACGCAGCGGGAATGGTATTTGATTTTTTGGAGATCTATTGCTTCATATATTGCATAGTTTCCCATAGCTTCTGTGGCAAGAGTTTGCATCTTTTTATAGAATGTTGCCGCTAAATTGTAACCGGCATCTTCGCTTAATCTTGATGGAAAGGCTTAATTACAGTAGAGTAAATATGAGGAACTGAACTCTTCCAACCCCCGCAGAGATGTACTGTAACTGTAATGCACTTTGGCCTGCAAAGAACTCTGGTCTGCAATAATCCTCAACTTATTGTAAAAGCTGTATTCTGCACATAGTAAACTCTGTAAATTCCCTTCTGTCCTAATTAAGAATCTCTGCACTGGATGCAAAAAGGTCTGCAAATGCTAGCAGGCCAAGTCGAGTTTGGGTTTTGCCTCTTTAAAAACGCTTAAGTCGAAGTAAAATTCATGGTGAGCCCACTGTGATTTTCTTTTCAAACTGGCGATAAGGTAGATAAAGGTTATAACATCTTTAGCACAGCCCGCAACCATGGTATTCAACGACTTTTGCC